GTTCGGAGCCCATCCAAATCCCCGCACAAAGGACACCCACCAGCCACCTCCTCCTCCTCCTCCTCCTCCTCCTCCTCCTCCTCCTCCTCCTCCTTCAACATCCAACACCCAGCACAACACCCACGGCCACAACAATGGGGCATAAGCCCAGACTCGACCTCTGTCTGTGTGGGTTTCTAGTGGGTTTCCATGGGTGTGGTTGTGGATGTGGATGTGGGTGTGGGTGTGGGTGTGGGTATCTATGTGCGAAATCAGCCAACTCAAATGCAAAGGCAACAGCAACGGCAAAGGCAAAGGCAAAGGCAAGCTGCCGCCGCCTGTTCGTCTGGCTTCCGTTTGGAGTTGCCTGCAATTATTCCGTTAGTGTGTTGGGTCACCCAACCACCCAGCCATCCACTCAACCAACCAACCACCCATCACCCCAACCACTTAGCTAGCGGCACGGAGGAGAAAAGGCGCGTCCGCATCGCTCGTTACTCACACCAACAAGTGCAGCTGCTGTTTTCCTTTGGGGCACAGCCCCACTTCCCCACTTCCCCACTCCTACCCCTTACCTCTCCACCAAAAAAGTCGTCCTGTTGCCGCCTGCCGTTGCTGTTTTTGTCGACACTTTTTCACGGCTTGCTCGCTTGGCTGCTCTTTCGTGCGTTGCCACTGCTGCCGGGACTTTCCAACCAGCAAGCACAAAAACCCCAACCATCCAGTCGTATCCTCGATCCCCAATCCCTCCCCCAGCCATCCCCCCATCTGTTCACCGAGTGAAACTCGCAACCTGCCAAACCAAACCAACCGCATTCCCCGCCCCGAATCCTTGGGTCCTGCAGCGTGTTTTCCTTCTGGGGTTCGTCCCTTATTTTTTTCTTTTTTCTTTTTTTTTTTTTTTTCCCTGAAAATCAAAACACACGTCTCGGCGTGCGGCGCACATCTGCATGGAATTTCTAAAGTACGTGCCACGGACGAACGGACGAGTGGACAGAAGGCAGCGCCATCGTCCTGGCCCGATGCCATCGCAATGCCACAGACGGCAACTTTGGCGTGGTGCTCTGCCACTCTGCCACTCGTTCTGCGTCCTCCGAACTGCGTCCTGCCCCCTCAGTCCTCTGTCCTGTGGCACAGGGAACAGCCAACATCCATGGAGTACATAGCTAGCACAACCGTGCCAGGAGCTGCCATTCCTATTCCGCCGTCGTCGCCTGTCTGTTTGTATGTATTTGGCGGCATGACGGCGAGAGCGTGAACCGAAACATGCAGAGCCTTTAGTGAAAAGATACACTGGAAAATAAAGAGTAACCTACTAACTGGGATTTTCTGGGAACTAATTTCTCATCATATTTATTTTTTATTATTGAACTTTTATGGTAACCTGTCCTTTAAAATATATCTTTTGTAAATATGTACAGGGAAACGAAAATATTTGCAAGTTATACAAAAGTAAAATAAGTCTAATTAATTTATGATTTTTAGCTTTTGCAATATTATACTTACTTAATCACATTTTAACTTAAAGGATGTTTTCCTAAAATATAATATGTACTTATTTAATATTAATAAAGGCTTTATAATTAGTTATATATCTGAGAAAATTTCTATAGCTATCCTTTACTTTTTACAGATAGTTTCTGTAAATTTTTTCGGTAATCTGAACTCAAAGCAAAACTTATTTTCCAGTGTTCACTTGACACTGGCGTTGCAGGCCGCGCGTGCGGTGTTCAAGCTTGGCATTATAATTTCTTGCTCCGTGGCAGCCACACACACACTCACACACATACAGACAAGCACACACAAACAGGATAAGGCAGCGGCAAACCCGCACACACAGGGCGCACATTTTAACACTCTCGACAATAAACAGCATGTCACTTAGCTCAAACTTCAAAAGTGCGCCAGTCTGTGCACAGGACTTGGGCTTTGCCAGGATTTCTGAAAGGGGAGAAAGTGGGCGGCGGGGAGGAGGGGAGGAGCAAGGGGGTGGCAGGAGAAGGCGGTGGAGGGGTGGAGTCATCGCCGCAGTCACCGACATCGTTATGCGAATGCCGCCAGCAGGCTTCCGTGCCGTGCCAAAGTTTTTTATTTGTCATCCCCGTTTCGGCCGACAAGAAGACGCGGCGACAACGGCGAAATTTCCACCAGCAGACGGGGGGATTTCGGATGGTCGCTGATGGGCGATAATAAACAGGCCCAGACCACACCCACTCCAGCCCACTCCCGCCCACTTTTCCACCCGCCGTCAGACGACCAAGGAGCAACGGTTTGAAAAAGGCGCTGGCTGAAGTGTGTCTCCGGTGCTCGAGAGCAGCAGCGTCGGGAACAGGCGCTTGTTGATATTGCCACACAGTGTGGCATTAATTGGGGCTACTCCAGTCGGATAAAGCCATACCTGAAGCTTGCCTCGGGCCATGATTATGCCCCCCCAAAAAAAAAAACAAACAGCAAAAAAGTCTGGCATTATATATTTCAAGGAGCTGCTCTAAAATTGCGAAGGAAAGGCATTTTTACAAATATCAGCGTTCCTTCAAGATTAACTTTACTTCTTTGTGGAAATTTTTAAATTAGTTTTGCATAAGGGATTAGGTGTATAGATAATTAATGAATAGGGCTTACTCCAGATCAGTTATTAATTTTATAGACCTGCAACTGCATTCAGTTTTGTGCGATGCAAGTTATGAGGTGATTAACATTAGGTTTCCTTAATTTGGAACTATAAAGTGATCTTTCAGAATAAAGATGTCTCATTAATTAGAAATAACAAAAGATAGTACATTTTAAAACAATAAAAAGGGTTTGGTCCTTGCCTTATCTTTAAAAATTGAATGTTACTAATTTACAATTTGTACAAAACACTTTGTATCATATATATGAATGATCTTTTCGCAGCACTTGAAAAACAGCTCGCAAAATTTGCTTATATCACCCCTCCCTTTCATCGTTTTGGTGGGGCACAAATAATTCCATATGCCCCACTGTACGTGTAAGCGGTTTGATTGTCATGGCAATTCGAAAGCATTTGTCGGTCGCTCGCCCCTCATCACATACATTTGGGGACGGAGGCGACTCGACGCAGACACAGGACTCCAGGACTGGAGCAAATACCCATTCCCCAAAGTCCCCCCTCATTCCATTTCCTTCCACCCTTCTCATCCAGCAGCAACATCAGCAGCAATGGAGGGCACACACAGCAGCAACAGCAGCAGCAGCAACAACAGCAACAGCAACATCGGCACGGCAGCAACATCAGCCACTTGCCACATTTGGCTTTCTGCCAGGACCAGACTCCAGGACTCGCGCGGTAGGCGGTGGGCGGTGGGTGTGGCAACAACCGAGTCGAGCGGCAACAACAAGGACATTCGGTACAGCAGCAACAGCAACGGCAAGAGCAACTAAAAATGCGACGTGCGAGATTATCGTGTCGCTTGTTGGTCGTCCGTACTCCCAATCCCACAGACACACTCACACACACACACACACACTCTACGGCTGTTGGTGTTTCTGTGGCTGCGCACAAGCTCCCCTGCCACACCGGCTATCCTTGCACCCCGAGTCCTGGCCAACAGTCCCCGCTTCTGTTCCCTCGACAGCGACAGCGACACCATCACCACCAGGCGGCACAACTTACTGCCGCTGACGGAGGCAACTGCTGACTGCTACTTATGGCGCTGATGATGGCACAATGGCAACAACAACGCTTTCGGAGGGGTCACTAAGGACTTAGGCGATACCTAAAGCGTTGTATTAAAGGGAGAATTAATCTGTGGAAATAACGCAAACAATTTGTAGTGACGGAGGTTTTGTTGCAATCGGTTGTTTATCAATTGTTTGTGCAATCAGTTGTTTATTGAGACATGTCTCAGAAAACAAGTATTTAAAAATTGTATTTATTTTATGTATTTAAAAATAACCTCTAAGGATATAATTTCTTTAAATATTAAGCAAGTGCTGTATAATATTGTCAATGTCTTATCTTCAAAGATTGTAATAAATTTGACTTTAAATTGTTGGCTTTTATAAATGGAACCCAGTTTGCAATATCAAAATTTGCATTCTAAGGTTCTTCGATCTAAAAAATCAAACTAAAATTAAGGAATAGATTCCCTTTATTCCTACTGCACACATCGTATTATCAACATCCATTCCAATCCATACCGATATACCCACTGCTACCTCGTAGACGAGTTCAGCCAGAAAGTATGCAGCGTGCGCACGCGAGGATAACGACTCGACTCGACTACTCGACTCGAGGACGAGGACGACAAGCAGCCCGACAGTGTGTGCGTAGGCGGGACAAGAGAATTGAGGGGGAGGGGGTCTGCCATGGTGAGGAGATGGATGCGGAGGAGGGGAAGAGGGGCAGGGGATTTGCGAGTGGGTGTGGGTGAGCTGTGTGCGACTAATTGGGTGAGAGAATGTGGGTGCTTAAATTGGTTTCGTGCTTTCGTGTGACGCGTGCGGAGGCGTGTAAAGCTGGCGTGGCGCTGTGCGAGTGTGTCTGGCTGTTTGTGTGAGTGTGCGTGTCCGTGAGTGTGTGTAAGTGTGCAGGCGACAGGCTGCTCTGCGGGTCCTCCTCCTCCTTTTTGTTGCTGTTGGCATGAATGCTTGATGGCGTGACGGCAGCCGGTTGTTGCCAGCAATCGAAACGAACTCGAAAAAAACCATGCGAAGTTCAGCTATGGACAACGAATCCTTAAGTACACTATTTTATATACAAAAGTGTATACATTAATTGGTCACTTGGTACCATGTTCTATAGAATTATTATTACGAGTAAGAAAGGAATCAGCATCGAACAAGTTATACATTTATAGGCAATTTATAGGATTTTAAATTTGTGTTTTGCAATGTTATTGGAATATGTTTTGAATTTTTATTAGGTATTCATACGAATGTAAAATCTTAAAAGTATGTTACGATTAAAGCTAAAAATATATATTTTCTGTGTTGTTAATAAAAGTTGTCAAACCTCTGCTTGAATCATCACAACCCCCGCAAAGAGTACACAAACACAATTTGCCCCGCCTGGATGTAGATTTTATTTTGCGTGCTCTTTCCAGTGCAGCAATGCTCGGCTCACAATTTCAGTTCTGTGCTTGGGATTTGTGAGTTCGTCCGTGCAAGGACTTTTCACCCGTACGGACCTACCCCGCTGGTGCAGCTTGTTTGTGCCACTCGGATTATGCTGCCCGCACGCAGGACACTCGACTCCTTTAACGCATGGAATTCCGCACGCTGTTCCTGCGCGACTCGTCCAGCGCCCTGTTGTCCTGAAGGAGGATGATGGTGTGCTCGTTCTCGGTAGCCACCATCATCTCCTGGCGGCGGGTGCGCAGTCGCACGTAGCTCAGCTCGTCGCCGGGCTCCAGATCGCTCACCATGGAGCGGGCCATCGTCACCAGCGGCCTCATCCGATTGGCGTACAATTGGGCGGAGCTCGTGGGGATGTTGGTCCGCACGGTCACCCCTTGGCCGTCGATCAGGATGGCGCCAGTCACCCCTGGTAATTCCGTAAGGCGATCGAACGTGGCCTGGACATTTTGCGACGTCATGGCTTCCAAGGGGAGAGGTGAAACCCCTTTTTGGGACAACTGAAAGGGGCTGAACTTTGAATTTTGTGAATTTTTGACATATAAACAAACAGTACAGGACCTTTTTTATATTTCACTTAAATGAATTATCAGATGCCAATCTTTATTCAAGAAATGTTTTGTTTATTAATATGCTAAACTAAAGTTTGTCAAATTTAGGTTGCAAAATGATTTTATGATTTTATTAATCTTTTCATTAGGTTGTTGTATAGAAAAATAAGTATTTAATAAATATTTTAATAAATTGATGACACAATTAACTTATGCCATTTTAAATAAATAATACAATAAGTAATACCTTAAATCTTTGCATTTGATTTAAACGCCTAGAAATAAATTTAAGATAGAACCTTGCCAACGGTTCAAATCACGTAAGATGCCGCAGGGAAATGATTTGAGTCAATCCTCTAATTGAGTCTTTTATTATATATAGGGGATCTGGGGCCACCCCATGACCGTGGCCATTTCGCAACTCCGGTTCATGGGGACTTGCACTTATTTTCGCTCAGGGAGTCCAGACTTCCCCCGTGGCTATTGGCAAGGACAACCAACGAACCAACCAACCAACGAACCAACCATCCTGGCAGTCAGCTAGTGGGAGGATTTCCGGGCTCCGTGTCAAAGGTTGGACGTTATCCGTGCTGCAGCACGCGTCGCCGGAGGCGAGGATGTGGGGCAACGAGGAAAACGAACCCAGACGAGGCGCCACCACCCACGGTGGTGCAGGCGCAGGCGGCAATCATTCCTGGCAGCATGCGGCCACGACTGTTGGTGAAGTGCCATGGAGTGGAGAAGTGGCCTGGCGTGGAGGCGGGGGTCACGTAAATGGCGTTGAATTACAGCCCGACAATCGAAGCGTTGAAGTCTCGAACTGAAAAGTTCGAGCACAGACTGCATCATTTATAAGTCGGGCTAGGCCACAGATTGTCTGGAATCGAGTCGAGTGCGCACGCATGCCACGAAGTCGATGATGATGAGCTCAGGACGACCAGAGAGCAGGGAACCAGGGAACTTTATGACTGTGGGTCATGTGTTGGGCTTGGGGTGTCACGTGCCGGTCTGCGCCTGACTCCGGGTGCGGATGCACGGACGGGCTCGCGTTTTGGGTCCGGATCCGGGCAAACGCCTCTATCCTTTTCGTTCCGCTCCGCTGTTCCACGTTGTATAATTCATTTGGCGTTGCGGACCCTTTCGCCGTGCGGAACTATTTATTCAATAATTCGACGTAAAAGCTTAACACGGCAATCCAGAGGGGTTGTGCAGCCATACAGCGGCTGAGTCCTTTGCAAACACGCGGCATTGGATACTTTAATGCGCCCACCAACTGTCAAATATTCCAAGTCCTAGGCATAAAATATTTTCGAATACTAATATCGATATTTGGGTTTCCTTAAAAAGGGGGATCATAATTTGCAGAAAAACAGTTTCCTTTTACATATAACGGTTTTAAAGCTGCATCCTTAGTTTGTTAATGAATGAGTTAGATTTCAAATATTTCAGTTTTATACAAAGTAATTGAAGTTTTATTTAAATTAAGAAGATGAATATAACAAGTAACAATTTCGCAAAATATTTATCGAAAAATAAATTTTACTTTCAATATATTCCTTATCAAAGATATTTCTCAATTTAAATTTTCCGCAATAAAAAGGCACTGAAGACAGTTGGCACCACCAAAATAGAAGAAACTGAGATGCCAACTTCCGTACATAGCGGAGTCTACCACCCAGTTCGTGTTACCAACTATTTAACTTAGCGAAGTTACGCTCCCAATTTCATCACTTACTCTTTTTACATACACATGCATCATTATGCTCTCTCGGCTTCTAGAGACATACCCGTTTAACAAAAAACTTCATCTTTTCCTTACCCGTTCAGTTAAAATTTCTATGTTGTCCAATTCAAAGTTTCTGTTAACCAGGTTAAGGAAGGCGCCTCTAGCGGGCGAAAATGACTGCCGAATCGTTTTGCAACACTACTGAATGCAACCCTGCGTATCGAAACGTGAGGACCATTTCCGCTTTTTCTTCCTCTTTCTTTTTTGTCAAACCAGCCGACGAAGGTGGGTGTTTAATTCGACTTTGATAAAAATTGCCCAACTAAAAGAACCCCTTACATTTGCAGTGGTCTGTGACTTTAACTATCAACATGGTTGCTGTTAAGAAACAAAAGAAGGCGCTGGAGAGCACCAACGCCCGTCTGGCGCTGGTGATGAAATCCGGCAAATATTGCCTGGGTTACAAGCAGACCCTGAAGACCCTGCGTCAGGGCAAGGCCAAACTGGTCCTGATCGCCAGCAACACCCCCGCCCTGAGGTGAGATCCTTGTTGTCCTACCGAGAAGTAGATTTCCACTGCGCCCAAGTTGCCGTTTGATTGATGGAACCATATGGAGTCTGCCTTATAAAGCTGACTGAGAAGTATGATTCCAAGCGGAGTAGTTGATGGAAACTATGGAGTAGTACATTCAATTAATCTCAAGCTTCGTACTGGCCCGCTTTATACTGGCGCCGCCTCCACATGGTTCCACCAAGCAACGGGTCCACATTACTTGGGGTAAGAAGAATATACTCAATCTTTAATTTGTACACATTTTATGATGATACTATCTATTCCGAATGCCTTGACGAATCATTTTATTACTAGAGACTCTTACTGATGTAAAATCATTAGAATATTCTCTCAATAAGCTAAAGGCTTTGTTACTAATTGAGAATGTTTTGCCAATTTCAGGAAGTCTGAGATCGAGTACTACGCCATGTTGGCCAAGACCGAGGTCCAGCACTACAGCGGCACCAACATTGAGCTGGGAACCGCCTGCGGTAAATACTTCCGCGTGTGCACTCTGTCCATCACCGATCCTGGAGATTCTGACATCATCCGCTCGCTGGAGTCGGCCTAAACATATTTTTAATCCAACAAGACGACACAATAAAGTTTTGTACGAGGAGAGATATTGTTAAAAAATAAAAAACACTTGTATTTTAAAAATATACTTCGAATATTTATATTGGATGTTGGGTGTTCTAAGATGGAATAAAGGAGCCATTATTCAAAAATGTATGATACATATTTATTTGAAATACTTTATTAAAAGGTTATTTGTATATAAGTACACAAAAACATAAAATGTCAATTGTTGCTCACCATTCTTAAGTACAAATTGATTATATAGACAGTAAACATTGACCTAGGAACGCATTCATATCCTCTTGAAATATAGCCCGATAATAATTATACAGTTTTACAGTTTTAGCTTTCAGCTTTAAATGTGGTTTTCCTTGGCCTGAAAATAATACAAAATATTAACAACTTAAGAAATAATTGTTTATTGAAGTACTCACATTCTGGGCAACTTTTAGCAGATGGTCGAAACTAGCTTTTCCCGTTTGCATCACCATTCCGTGGAACACTTTGCTTTCGGACTCCGTTAGGAGTTCATATGGAGAACCGAACTCGACGACCTTGCCAGCATCCAGAACCAACACCTTATCCGAATCCATGATGGTGTTTAAACGATGAGCAATCGTCAGAACAGTGCAATCCTTGAACTTGTTCCGAATGGTGGCCTGAATCAGAGCGTCCGTCTGGGGATCCACATTGGCCGTGGCCTCATCCATCACAAGGATTCGATTCTCGCGCAGAATGGCTCTTGCCAAGCAGACCAACTGGCGTTGACCTACGCTAAAGTTCGTGCCGCCTTCCGAAATGTTGCTCTGCAGACCCGTTGGCAAATCGGAAATTTCTTCTTTAAGATGAACCTGTAAAGAGCTTGGTTAAATATGTTTTTGTTTTAAAAATCCTTTTAAATCTTACCTCTTCAAGAGCCTTCCAAAGTTTATCATCAGGGTACTGCTCAAAGGGATCCAAGTTGTAGCGCATTGTTCCCGAAAAGAGCACTGGTTCCTGCGGTATAATCGAGATTTTGCTTCGCAGATCATGCAGACCCATGTCGTTTGTGTCCCACTTGTCAATAACTATTGCTCCCTCGTTGTAAGAAAGCCGGAAGAGAGCATTAATGAGCGAGGATTTGCCCGCACCTGTACGTCCCACGATGCCCACTTTTTCCCTAGGCTTAATCGTAAAGCTCAGCCCCTTGAGAACGTAGTCCGCATTCGGATCAGGCGCGTACCTCAAGCTCAAATCCTTTGTCACCAATTGTCCTTCTTGGGGCCAACTCTTTGGTGGTCGCTTGTCTGCCGGCGAGGTGATCTCTCCCTCGGATTCTAGGTCCTTGTACTCGAGCACTCGCTCCACCGAGGTCATTGCGTTCTCCAGTTCGGCAGACTGACGCATTCCCCATTGTATTGTGCCCGTCATGCCTAAAGCTTGAGTGATGGCCAGTCCTATTTGACCGGCATTGCCCAAAGGGGGATTAAAGAAGCTGTGCAGTATCACCGATATCACGTAAACCACACAGAAGAGATCAAGGTAATAGCCAAAGGCTCGACTGGTGGAAACAAAGGTGTAGTAACCGGAGCTGTGTAAGTCCTGGTAATTGTCGTATTGCTCGATCAGTGTTTTTTGGGCCCCCATCGCACGGATGGTGGGAAGTCCAGTGAGAGTGGCACTGAAATGCGAGTACATGGGCGACCGGGCCACCGCCTCCAGGCGCTTCACATCCCTCGACGTGCTTAGATAAAAATCACGCCAATAGTAAAAGGCAAGCACCATTGCCAGCGTGTTGATAAGGTACCAAGGATTCGTAATGCACAGCACACATATAATACCCGACATGGTGAGGAATATCTGTATGCAATCCAACATGACAGCGGGCAGCACCTCATCCACCTGTCCCAAGTCATTCGCGAATCGGTTGAGAATCCGTCCGGAGGGATTTGTGTGGAAAAAGTACAGAGCCGTGCGAGAAACGCCTCGGAACATCGTGTTGTGCAGCTCGGTGGAGGAGTGCATGGTCATGTTGAAGAAGAGCAGAGTTCGCATCAAGGCGCAAATAACCAGGCCCACATTAATGGCAGTGAAATAGTAAATTTCCAGAGATGATGACGTAGAGGTGTTCTTAACCCTATAAAAATAAGATTAATATGTAATCAAAATAAAGTAATCCCTGTATTCTTGTAATACTTACCAGTGCGATAGGAAGTAATCCCCGCCAGACGCCAGAAGTTGAGTGCCAAGGCACAGGAGCATCAGTAAAGCGAAAACCAGAACACCACAGCCTGCGCTAAAGTACTTTTTGTACATTGCCACTCCGATTTCACCACCACCACGGGACTCCAGAACTGGTGCCGCGGTTGGCTTGGGTTTCTCCTTCTCTTTTTCCAGGGATTCCAGCGATGAGGAGCTTCCTTTCGAGCTGCCTGTGCTCAGCGAGCTGCTTTGGCGAGAATAGCCCGGAGTATTCTCGGTCCCCTCATCATCACCACCATTTTGAGTGCTTTCGGCCAAAAGCTGGGCAAAGTCCTGGCCGCTCTTTAGCATCTCCTCGTAAGTGCCGCATGCCGAAACCTTTCCCTTGTCCATAATCACAATCAGATCGGCATGCTCCAAGAACTGCAGTTGATGGGTGACCAGAACCACCAACTTGTCACCCAAGAAGCCGCGCATGCATTCATCGAAGAGATGCCGACCAACATGCGTGTCCACAGCGCTGAGGGGATCATCCAGGAGGTAAACATCTGCCTTACGGTACACAGCTCGAGCCAAACAGATTCTCGCCCTCTGACCACCGGACAGGGAAGCTCCACGCTCGCCCACGATGGTTCCATCGCCTTGCAGCAACTCCAAATCGCGTTCCAGAGCGCACTTCTTCAGCACAGTTCGATAGCGCTGCTTATCCATGGGCAAACCGAAAAGAATGTTGTCGCGCACAGAGGCGTTGAAGAGCCATGGCTCCTGGGAGGCATAGGAGAACCTGCCCATCACATCAACAGATCCCATTTCTGGCGGCAGCTCTCCCAAGATGGCCTGAACAAGGCTTGATTTTCCGCAACCAACGGGTCCGATCACCGCCACTAGTTGGCCACTTTTCAGTGACATGTTGATGTTATCCAGCACGGGCTCGTGGTGCTCCTGGCTCCAACGGGCTCTCAAGCCTTTGATCTCTACTAAAACATCCGGAAGTTTTCCATTTCTATTGGAAGTTGGCTGCTTCTCTACTGCTTGCAGCAAATGCTGCTCCTCAGCAGGTTTCTCTTCCGTTTCCAGTGACACATCCAAAATATTTGCCTCTTCGCGGATCATAAAATTCTTGATGCGCCGCATGGATACCAACAACTCAGCAAACTGAGACATTCCACTGGGAAAGAACTTGCTCACCGTGCGTCTCAGGATGTTGTAGAATGCAGTGACGCAGAAGGCCCGCTCCGCCGTCAGTTGACCGCCCGCCAGGACGAATCCCAAAAGGCTCACAAAGATAGCAATGCGTCCGAGGGTGATCTCGAACGAAAGCAAGATGCCTCGCAACAGATTTATCTTGCGTATAGAGCTCATCTCGCTGCGACGCATCTGCTCGATCAGCTTGCCGAAGGGACGCTCCCAAGTATACATCTTGATCACCTGAATGCCCGAGATGATCTCGTTCATCATGCGCACCCGCTGATCCGTTCGGAGAGCAGTCTGCAGGCGCAGCTTGGAGGTGATTCGACTCATGTAGGTTTGCAGCGGTAGGTAGAGTATCAAGATACTGATTCCGTAGAGGGAAGCAAAGCCAATCTGCTGGTATAGGAAGTAGGCGGCTATCAAAAGCTCCAACGGGCCCAGCCAGAGGAAGTGAAAATGGATGAGGCATCTGTCGAAGCGGTTGAGATCGTTGGACAGCAGGTTCACCACCTGGCCGATTGTGGTATCTCCCAGCGATGTGCGGCTCAGGCGGAGAGCCTTTCGGTAGATGGCAGCGCTCACCGCCACCCGCATTTTCATGGCCAAGTGCTGAAAGAAACATTAACATTATTGGATTTAAATTTTTGAAGATTATTGTTATCTTTTTCAAGTCGTAAAACCATTTAAAACCATCTTAAAACTATAAAGATTTATCATTCATACCATCATGCCCATCATGTAGGGGTGCGTCAGCAAAACACTGGCCAGGATGCAAACTATCAAGAGCACGGCATAGATCTGTGCGTAATTGCTGCTCCCATTTCCATGTTCACTGAACTCCGATATCAGTCCGGCCAAAAGAAGCGGCACCGTGGCCCTGTAAGTAAATGAAATTAATTTGTTTTTGATAATTATATCAGTTATAAATCGGTGCTGATAAAGCCCAAGGTCTTTTACCTAGTTCCCAGTTCCAATACGGCAATTACTATACCCGAAAGGATTAGCTGCCAGCCAAAGACGCGTCCAATGACCCGAAGGACACTTGGTTCCCGGTGGGTCCTTTGGTCCTTTCCCCGACACCGGGCCACCTCATCCTCCCATTCCCGAAAGAACTCATCGCCAAGAGTTTCGGCTCCATGCTCGTCCAGTGTTTTGTACAAATCCGATGGCTGAAGCGTCTGTCGGCGACCCTTGAACAAAATGGGCAGTGCAAAGCTGGAACAAGAGAACAATTATGTAAATCGATTTCGCAACCCATGGAAATTTTAAGTAATGCTACGAACAATATGTGTGGAATCCGATAACGGTTGTCTTCGGATGTCACTTCTCAGCGGCAGTTGACACTTAAAGGTACTTGGCATATGATTTATGATAACACACATTACACTTTTTTAGCGGTAAGATGAAACTTTTTCATACCAGAACATTAGCGAGGATAAAATACCTGCCGACTCGCGGGGATTGGGCGGTAGTTTGTTCGCCTGCATGGTTATGTAAATTAGGCAGCAATTTCACAAGCTTTCATAAATAATTAATCCACGGGTTCGTTTTTTAGTACAGCAGTATCTCATCAAATCAAAACATACGATGGATGTATGTATGTATTTATAAAAGTAAACATTGAGCCTGAATTGATAACAACTGATGCTGCATCAGGATCCCGACACGTGATAGATACAATTGAGAACTAAAAACTTTCCACTCGTTAGATACGCAAACACAAATCACTTGAGCCGTCCACGACGCCTCGTATTTCCAATCATTCTGTTCAATGGTCGCGCAAAACAACGCGTCGATGGCAAATCAAATGCTTGTCGAGCTAGAATCAGCTGTTCGAACAGCTGTCGGATTTATCCTATGTGCTTGTGTGTGGAATAGACACATATATTTATTACATGGTCACTTCTGGACTTTAGAGTGGACCTTGTCCGATACATGGTAGAATTATACAAGGTAGTCTCGTCGGCTGCAAAATCGTTCGGGTTTTTCCCCTATCGACCCGAACCCATAGGAAAACACTCTCTCTCGCTCTAATTGTAGTGTCGATAGGGGGAAAAAAAGCCGACGAGACTACCTTGTACTTATTATACCATGGTCCGATAAGATAGCTTAGTTTACTTATTAGGAAAAAGGGTTAACATAGGGTGCTTCTCTCATATTGTAAATGAATGTGTTTTTGACCTTATTTTAGCATTAGAATTATTTGATTCGCATAACTATTAATTAACATGTGTTCTTTAGGTATAATTTGTAACACCTAGTATAATTTTTAATAAGAGTGCAACGGAATAACATAACATACTTTTGAATTATATATTTACCACTTAAATACACTATTTACAATAACACTTTAGGCTTTACAGGCTTAGCGGTCACATTGATAAGATAAAGCTTTTGTAACTGCTTTCAGTAAGAGTGTATCTTGTTCTTTCTAAATATAGGTTATTGATAACAAGTCTGTGATTTTGAAGTTGTTCTGTTATTAAAATCATGTCTAAATTACATCTGCTTTTTAAAGGGTGAGCCTCCGAAAGATAAGATAACTGCTCTTAAACTTTTAATGAATTATATAATCTTGTTTTGATCCAATCCTATTTTCAGTTTATAAGTAAGAAAACTTTGAGTTACATTAATTAAATGTTCTCAGATATTATGGAGGCAATTAGAATTATAAGTTACTTTTTAAAAACTTTAGATTTCACACTAAAGTTAAATATTTACTCCATACATTTTGCAATACGTTTTTATGTCGCATATTACAGCAATGTTAAGGTATTAAAAATTATAATTATTTAAGTACGCTGTGATCCTAATATTTTAGATCAGTACTAAATTTCCTTCGATGTGAAACTCTAGTAAATGCAAGAACCAACTAAAAGCCCTGAGTGCTTTCTAAGAACTTGTAAAAAGCTGCAGCGGAAGTGTTTGTGGAACTACAAAAAACGATTTGTATAATAAACAAATATGCATGTTTAAGATAGGTAAATTTTAAAAATAAAGTGATAAAGATATAGTTATCTTCTAAATCCTGTATAAAGTAAACATCAAAATTTCATCACCAATAGGTTTACTGACCCAAAGCTTCAAACTTAAGCAATAGGAATATCATCGTACACACCTACAACCTTTATCACACTGGCGTATTGAAGTTATCTGGAAAAAGAGAACTGAAACTCGCCGGGGAATATATAATATAGATAAGCATTGCATACAGAGAGCTTGGGCCAATTTGCGAGTATTCAGGTGAAATTGATTAGGTGAATGGGGGTAAAGAAAATATGGCCAACAGTGGGGAAGCCAGTTAGGCCACGGTGGTCGATCCAAGCAGTCAGAAGTTACAATTGAGCTACTCAGAAAAAAAGAGAGCCATGAGAGGATATAACCTATTTGTCGTTCTGATAACCGCACTGGTTGTCAGCCAGCTGGACAGCACTTTAGCCATACGTAAGCCAATGATTTTCAGCAAAGATTCCGTCTAATTTTCCTCTACATTTAACGCAGAGTGCTATTCATGCAGCGCAACGGAAAGTGGCAGCGACTGTTTAATGAAGCCAAATGAACAAATTGCTGTAGACTGCACCACCGATTGCTATACTTCAGTGGGTGAGTATCTATGACTCATGAACGACTATTTCATGTTCTTAGACAAAGGCAAATTCAGACAGTGGCCACTCTTATCAATCGAGGCAGCTAAAGCGATAAGCGATTATCTATATTCTGTTATTGAAAATACTGATCCTTATTTTCCGAGCACCCTGATACTAACCTTATAAATGTGCAAACATTTATGATCTGATGATTCATACCAGAATTATTTGACCATCTGGCTTCCCTTAGCTTGGACTTTATTATCAAAATATTTGGTAAAATAAAAAACTGGGTTATGAACAAATATTTGGCCATAACAATTGTTTGACCCTCCATAAAATAATTTAATTTAAACCGTTTAATACTTCTTCGAAAGCTTTCTTTTCGACTTTACTTATTTCTGAAGTAATAGGAAACTATGAACCATTTGCCGTTGGCCTCCCGTTCTAAAAACTTCTTTATTTCAGATGGTAAGGGCGGAATAACGCGTGGCTGTTTGGCAACTGGAACCCCATGCTCCTCTCCCAATTGCTCATCCTGCAATAGCGACAAATGCAATGTTAACTTGGTGTGCCAACAGTGTCTGGGTCTCGCAGAATGTGGACAAACCAACGTCACGGCTGTGAGCTACAATGCAGTGTGTTCGACGAGCCAGATTTGTGTGAACCAGGCGAATGACAATGGGACCGTGAGCCGTCAGTGCGGAGCCGCTTGTGCCGCTGGAGTGGCGGACACCACGTGCGCCTCCTGCCCGACGTCGCTGTGCAACACGGGACTCTTCCCCGCCAATCGGCAGCAGTGCTACAGCTGCACGGGAGCCGAGTGCAACACGGTGGCCCAGTCGATGATCGTGGGATGCAGCGCAACGGATGCCAAGTGCTTCGTCACCGGATCGGCTGCGAACAACATGACCCGTGGATGCACCTCGGCTACCGATGGAATCACCTGTGCGGCCGATAGCACCGATCCCAGTTGCTCCATCTGCGACTCCAGCCTGTGCAATGCTTTGGCTTACGAAAGGGATGCCGGGTCCTGTATCGTCTGCGACGAGTGTCCGGCGCAACAAGATGCTGCTACTGCGGCCAAAACCTGTGGCCAGGCTCTCTACAATCAAACGATTGGCTGCTACTCGTCCATCTCGGGAACAACGGTCAAGCGAGGCTGCCTGAAGGACTACGTGGGCGATTGCACGGCAGCCAATTCGTGCACATCCTGCTCGGAAACCAACTGCAATGTGGCTGCCGAGGACTTTAAGTGCATTGCGTGCATCTCAAACGAGGTCGCCGACTGCTGGGAAGCCAAAACCCCGAACGATTTGCCCTTGGTTAGCTGCCCTGCCGGAATCTGCTTCAGTGGAGTGTGGAGTAAGTTATTCCATAATCTACATGATTTTCAACCTACTTTCATCCTTAGTATTAAATCATAAAAAAGCTATTGCTTCAGGATATTATAATATGAACACGTATATTTCAGATGGCCTTGGGGTGCGAGACTGTTTTACCGCTGCCAGTACCTTGATGCAGTACCAGTGCGATATCAAACTGGAGCCACATCAGTGCGAAGAATGCAAGGAGAGCAGGTGCAACAGCAAGGCGTTCAATGGGGCCGCCTCCCTCAGTCGAATGGGCGTGGTCGGTCTGCTAATGGCCCTAGTGATCGCCCTTCGCACTGCCCTGTAATCGCGGATCCTTCAAGATAGTAGCCTAATCTATCCCAGTTATCAGGTGGCTAGGTTCCCTATATAGCTTAGCAAAGCCGGGAAACAGACAAGGAAAAACGTAAAATAGTTACAAAAACTGAACATAATTAGTTATACTTTTATTAACGAAAATGAAAAAATCTGTAAATATATATAAATATATTTATTTTGCTACTGCGACAATCTTTTAGGCGATGGAACCCCCTTTTAAGTGCTTATCAAAATGCCAAGCACGTAAATTATCAAACAATGATAACAGCCTATCAACAAAAGCATCAATAAATAATAGGTGTTGGTTTTGTATGTATAAAAGTGCATATACCATACACAGAATGAAAATAAAATAAAATACGATCTTTCGAATGGATTTCCAACCATGGATTGAATTTAAATATAAAATAAAAGGTAGTAGAATACTTACCACAAAGCTCAAGAAATAAACAGATTTAAAAAAGGTTTTATTTTGGGGAATATTTATTAATACATAATTACATAAACTTCTTACTTTACCAAAGTTATTTATTTTTTTAGAGTGGTTATTATTTCATGAATTTTTGTGTGCCTGATAAGCCGCTAACCCCTTGACAATCTCTTTAAAATTAAAGCGATCAAACTTGAGATAACTAGAATCTTCGAAGTTAGTGATAAAGTTCCGCCGCTAGTAACCAATCCATTTTTGTCAATATCAACGTTATTGCAATCAGAATAGTTGCATCTGCTGCATAGGTTTTCATGTCTTCTACAGTAGCTTAGAGTTTCCACATCCGTATCGGATACACAATTCCTCACCAAAAACCCTTCTGGGCCTCCAGACGGATCGAGGAATTTAAAAAATACAGTTATGCACTCATTCGGAACACCTTCTTTCACGGGACAGATCATTTTTCCTTCCATAGATCTACCTTTTGACTCTTTTGGGGAACACAATTCGCACTTCAGACATCTAAATTCATCAGAAGCATTTCCGCGGGCTGAAGCCCACTCAATCCATGGGAGGAAAGCCATAATTAAAATAAACCTTGGAAACAGCACCATAGTCAAAGTAATAGGTTTCAAATTTTAATCAAGGTTTTGATGGCCAATCTAAGTACTTTATATACTCTTCCTGTTTCCTTGCAGTTTTGTTAAAAACTGAGTGCAGTGACTATTAAAAACACTGATATATAATATTATTGTAATGATTGTCACGTAAAAGTAAAATAAAGTTGTTTCTGAGCCTCGGGAGACTTTAACCCACTTTTAAAAGTCAATCCCAGTATCCCTGCAGCATTAAACGAATGGTAAATATTTGATGTTATTAATCAAAGTGCTCAAGGGTTTAAAGCACTTGCCATCCATTAAAATATTTTAAATACATATTGTTGATGGTAATTAAAATACTTGCAATTAATATTTTATTTTTAATATACATATATTTACAAATTCAAAGAAAACACATTCACACATAGAAAGCGATTATTACACAAAAAGATAAGCAAACCCATTGATATTATCGGTTTTTTGTATATAATAGATACAACAAATTATCTAGACAAGTCTGCCGGTCTAATCTGCGAAGTTAATAATTAGTCATACTCAACCCATCGATTTTTAAGTGCACAAAGCTTTATTATTCCAATTAATTGCTGTGACTCAGAATTGAAAGGTTGGAGTTTTTCTAATAAAGCCCTTGCCAACTGGCTAAACAAATGGTAGAGATAAGGAAGGGGGTCAAAAGGTGATGAGTGGCAGACGCAGAACCAGGAGTCTCTTCAAATTGGGTCATGTTGTGAACATTACAAATGTTTTCATAGCACGTTGGGCACAACTCCTTATTCTCATTACAATAAGTGAGAAACGCGCCATCCAATTCCGATATACATCCTCGATTAATATATGTTTTTTTACCCTCCATGGTGTAGGGATCTCGCACAAGAATGGTGCGGCATCCGTTCTTTTTTCCCGGTATCGGTGGACACAACGACTTGGTATCATTGAAATTCGATGCATTGCAGAACATGCAGGAGTAGCAACTCAATGGAGCGGGTAATGGGGGAATGGAAACCGGAGGCACGGTTCCAGTCGTGGGTTTAGGTGTTGTCTCTTCTTGAAGACCAGTTCCATCTGCTGGGTAATCGGGTGATCCTTCCGGTATGGGTACTTCATTAGTTATGTTTGGAAAGTGGGAATCCGTTATGGTAACTTCATCAGTTACGTTTGGAAAGTGGGATTCCGGTATGGGTACTTCATCCGTTACGTTTGAAAGATGGGAATCCATTGTGGGAACTTCATCAGTTACGTTTGAAAGATGGGATCCCGGTGAAGTTTGGGGCTTATTGGGCGATTCGGAAACCACTTCTGAGGATGAGTCTTGATTAACAGAAGGCGATTGATCTAAGTGATCAGTTGGCTGGGGTGTATTAGTACCTTTAATTTCTGGCTCTGTTTTAGGGTCCTCTGGTTTGGGATCCATTTCGGAACCTAGAGTCGCTTCTGTTCCTTCAAGTTCTGGCTTTTTATCTATGTCTCCTTCTTTATCGTTATCAGATGGCTTTTTATCTACATCTCCTACTTCTCCGTCATCTGATGGCAAATCTAGTGAATCCATAATACCTTCCGCTGGTTTTGTATCGCCAGTTGTCATAACTGTGGTGCTGTTTAAAAACTGACTTTCTCCAGGAGACCCCGGTAGAGGATCTTCATCCTTATCTGGGCTTTCGCCTTCCGCACCTCCACTCAAGCTGACCTCCTGGATGTTATCCTCCTGGGCCCTGCTCCATTGAAGTAGGGCAGTCAGCGAAATCCAGATAACCAACAGTCGCATCCGCATTGTGATCACTGATCGGTTGAGGCTTCGCGGAACGTATGACTTGATAATGGCAATAAATCTACCAGTGAACCCGCAGAGTGGATGGGCTTATCAGATCTGTATCTTTCGTTATCGTTTTATCCCCGTCCTGAAGAGCTCCGTAAATAGCAATATTTGTTTTGCACTGGCCACGGATGTATTTTGTTATTCCCGACCTGTCCCGTGGCTGTTTAGCTGTCAACTGAGGTCGATGGTCATTAAACCGCCTGGACATATGATATGTGTACTCGAATCCGCTGATTGTCACGCAATTATCCGGTCTCTAAATTAAATCGATACGAGGATACGAAGGTGGAGGGCTGTATTTGAGGAACCCTTGACCCACGCTTATGAGCTCCCGGCAATCCTGCAACAAATGCGAGCCCCTGAATTATTGATGATGTGAACCTTTCGATGGAACCGATGGGACACTCCGATAATGGGATCAAGGCACAGAGCACATTATGGTTATGACATTTTTGGTCATTATGCATATGCTGGAATTTAATTTCGGTGAATGTTTAACTGAGGTTGGAAAGAGTTCAGCTTTAATAAAACTAGATAATGGATTCTGCAATCCCCTTCTTTTTCATCTATATGCTAATTAATATTTTCTAGAATGTCCCTATCATCTTTATATTCAAAGTTGAAAGTTACAATCTTTTGCCTGCAGTCTTTTTCTAGCTTATCCTTATCGCCATTTCAACTCTATCTACTTCTTGTTATATAGTCTGATAAGTCATAAACAGATTATGGATTTTAAATGGCAAACAAAGGTGCACTTTTTATTTTACATTCTTTATGAGCTGTCAAAATGCTCGAACCGAAGTTAACTCGTTTCTTTCTGCGCCACGCGCTTCTCATTTTCCTGATTCTCATGCTTACAGGTGAGCCCATTGCGATTTCTTCCAAGGAAAAATGCGTAGCTAAACTTTGAAGGCGTTTTCCATTATAGGTCGAAGTTCTGCCATTGTTTGCTATCATTGCGATTCCATTGCCCTGCCGGAATGTTCCCAGAACCTCGGAGAGGTGGGAGTTCTTCCCTACAAAGAATGCCCCACCGAACTGACGTGTGCCATGTCCATTGGTAAGTTAAACTGATATTGCTTATTTATTCTCAATTACGGACTGGTCAGCAGTTTCTATTTCTGGATTAAAGTTACGTTCTTGCAAATATGAATAAATATGAATCTGTATATATTCTATATCCATCTTTCAGTGGACTCTATAACATATCGAGGTTGCGGAGCTGAAACCCCTATTACCGGAGCCACTTACTCAAAGTCGTGCTCTTCGAACTTGTGTAATGCCGGTGTGTATCCCCCGGGACGCCTCAAATGTCATCATTGTGCCGGAGAGGATTGCGTGGCAGCTCCTGGTGCGAAACCCAAGCCCTGTCGCTATCATTTGGAAGAGGATCAGTGCTACACCGATGTGATGAGTTCAACCGAAGCTTATAGAGGTTGTGTCTCCGAGCAGAATCACACACTGTCGAGTGCCGCCAAGCTGTGTGAAATCAATGGATGCAATGAGGAGCAGGGCGCTTGGACTCAAGTTTGCGCCTCATGCGATTCTGCTCTTGGCAGGGGTTGCAAAATGGATCTCTTTCAGGTGAACACCGGCAAGTGCAATGTGAGCCTTTACGAGGAATGCCGACAGGATGTTCTATTGGGCGAACCGGAGGACAAGTACTGCTTTAGCTTCCGGAAATTGAGCCGCGTGGTCAGAGGTTGCTCCTCAAAAATGCCAACTGATCTGGAACCCTACTTGGACGAACTAGAAAAATGCAGAGACAGTGAAAACTGCAATGCAGGTTGCATTACACGGCAAAAGTGTTTATCCTGCAACTCGGTGGATCAGGAGTCTTGCAGGACGAATGTTACTGCCATTACTAACAGCACTTGTGCCTCCGCCGAGGCCTCCTCTTGTTTCTCCTGTGAGTATTCCAACTGGAGTATCCAAAGAGGTTGTGGAGCACCACCCACAAATCCAGAGATCACAAAATGCTACGAATGCGATGAAAAAGATGGCTGTAATTACAGGGATTTCACCCGGTGCTACAAATGCAGCACCGATGAAGCAGGAGCAGGCTGTGCCAACTGGGAGAGACCGGGGGAAATATACATCGAGGAATGTGAGGAACCAGCCACTTCGTGCCTAGTGGTTTCTTTTACCAACGGAACCACTGCGAGAGGCTGTCAGAAATCAGAATTCAGCTGTACTTCAGCAAATATGGCCAACTGTCGTTCCTGCGAAGGCAGCTTCTGCAACAAAGGAGCCTTTCCCGAGGACCGTCTCTGGTGTCATCAGTGCAAAGGAAACGAGGATTGTGAAGATATCTCCAGAGGACAAACTGCTTTGCCCTGTCCTGTCCAAGAAAACGAACCACAGGATCAAAAACTGGCCTGCTTGGAGTATTTCGACACGCACAGCATGGAGATTGTAAGAGGATGCCGATCCAATCCGGATCTATACTATGAATGCCTTTTAAGGAGTAATCACCAAGATAGTTGCCGCACTTGTCACACTAAAGCTTGCAATAATAGCCCTGGAAAGGAGTTGAGAGCCGGTTATGAGATAGAAACCAAGGCAATCGCATTGCTACAGGCCAGAAGTTTTTCAGTATCTTTGACTTATTTTAAAATGGGCTACGGAATAATATTGTTGTTCAGCGTTGTTTTATCTTATTGATACTATAAGTAAATACTGGCTTTGAGATCCTCTAATGAAAAGCAAGTTAGTTGTTCTTTTTGCGCTATTTATCGAGTAACAGGCTGAAACTATAAATAAAGGATAGCAGAACTTAAAAGGTGTAATTCTTATTCAGGGGGCGTGTAGCTAGGATTCAAGGCACGACCGCGGTGATTGAAGGAGTAAAACGAGGGGAAATTGCCCAGAGTGTCCCACGTTTTCTGCTGCATGTCCACTGTGGCTCGTATTTCCTTGAAGTTTCCAACCACCTCGATAATGTTGTAAATCACAACAACCAAACTGATGACGGTCTGCAGAATAATCTAAAGAGTTTTAAAGGGAAACCCGGCGTTTAGTAACCATTAAAGCTCCTTAAAAAAGTTTATACTCACATCCAAAGGCAGACTGGTCCACTCCTGCTCCGTCAGCCTCAAATAAGTCCGATCTGCAGAAGAAAATCAGCCCCTTCGTTAGCGGTCCAAAGTTTATTTACCAAAATTAAGGTTAATACTCACGGTGGGCAGCCGAAAATGCAGCGTGAGCCAAACTGGCAAAACCGGCAATCAACAAAAGCTTATTAAACAATTTGTCGCCCATTTTTTATTGAACAATTACAATTACAATCACAGGCGGATGAATTTTCTAAATTTTTTTTACTAATTTGCTGTTAGCGGTGTAACTTTAGCCGATGGTTTAGGGTTGTCATGTTTATTGGGTTGTATATCGGTATTTTTCTAGAATAAATTATTTCGAAAATACCAAATAAACACTGTCGAAAAAACAAGTAATGTTAACAAATAAACTGAAATTTAGAATTTACAATATCTTTAAAGTTCAGATCTTAATTTTTTTATTTTTGTTAGTTAGTAAGTTTGGTATTTTCCGTTTGATAGGGCCACTTTCGAAAAACCGCCGCGCTAGGAGGTATATTTGAACGTCCCTTACACGGTCCCACTATTCGTTTCTCAACATTTCAAGTGTTCGGTCGCTTGCGCGCATTTTGAGCGGAAAACCAGTGTCCAATAAGACAATAAGATAAAACCCGGCAATACAAGTGCACCTTGCAACTGTTTTTTTTAAAGTCAAAAAGGACTCAAGGCCACGTCTCGCCTAAAGTTTACATAAAAAATTGTGCAGAGTGTGCGTTGTTCCTGGCGCATCCGTCGTTTCATTGTATTCGTGTGTGTATCCCGACGTTACTTTTGCTGTCCTTTTTGCGTGGGTGTGCCAAAAAGGAGAAGAGAGAGACAGAACGAGAGAAAGATAAACAGTAAAATTCCAGCACATAAAAGCGAGTCAATAAAGGCCGACAACATGTCCGTTTCCTCGAACGCCTCTTCTGCCTCCAACAAGGACAGTGTGGACAGCCCGAGCAGCACCACAAACACGGACAGCTCCGAGCTGACACACATCCTAAACCGGCGACAGGAGATTATGGACTCCCAGGAGGCGGGCATCGAGATCCCACGCACCTTTAAGGTGGTCAACGTCTACACCGAGTTCCACGAGTTCTCTAGGAAGCAGATTAAGGACTACCAGAAGACCTTTAACACGTAAGTCGAGGCCTCAGTTTAAGATAAACGATGAATTTAAAAAAATGCGTATACGTTCGAAAAATGTATTCCCAGTATGAATTCTTAAAACATAAATTTTATTTGGAACTGGAATTTTTTCTATTTTTTTAATACCGTGACTAAAATATTAATTTATTTAAATGCAGAAAGGGTGTCCAACATGCAAAAGGTCGACTGTATTAACCTTAGCACTCCTTTCACCTGCATTTGCCACTTTCCCAGGCATCTCACCGCATTCGCGTCTCATTAGTTGGCAACATAAAACTCATGCCGCCTAATGGGCATTTAAATTGCATTTACTGCAGCCCCTCCTCGGAAAACCCCTTGCCCACCAACCCCCTTTGGACCCCTGTGCAATGGGGCATGACTCACAAGTACTTGGGGAGCAATATTGTCACAGTCACTGGCTTACATTCCCAAGTCGTGCTCCCGTCGCGCGGATCATGAGTCAAAAGTGGTTTTCTGCCCCAACACTCTAAGACGGATTCAATTATTACACTACAGTCGAGCTCCCCTAAGGGGAATTCCTTTTAGTCATATTCCATTTCACTAATGGATGTCCTCTTAACACAAAATTTTTATTATTCTAGGGTTTGTTATTTGGTTTACTTAGTAAAACCTTATAAAATTCGTAGTGTGTTTTTGGCCCAGCCTTATTCAAGGTTCTATAAGTCATACTATATATTCTTGAATGAAGATAGCACTCGGGGTTATCTAAGATCACCTGTGCGCTTTCCGTACTTGTGTTTCGTATTACATTACCATCCGACAACGTCAGCTGTCGAGTGACACCTTGCAAAACGAAGTGTTCTCCGAGGTTTTCCCTTCCTCAGTTTCCTAGTCTTGTGGTGGATCGTTTTAGTGATAGCCCGTCTCGGGTTTCGCTCAATCAACCGCAGCTGAGTTGCGCAATGGTTATTTTGTTAGATTAAATCTCTAGAATTGTTATTTAAATCCCAGCAGTTGGCACGTAGGGCCGTCTAGGCTGATAACCTATCTCAGGCTCGCCCGAATTATCTCTTTTTTATGGTGATTAGCTGAAATTCGCCAAGTACCTATCATTTCTTCTAAGTGATTCAACTCTTTACTCACCTGAGTTCTATCTGAATCACCTGGCAATTAAGACGAATGAGGTGTTAGATACTAATTTTGTATACAATTAGCTTAGGCCAACCAGTTGGACAATTACCACAGCTAAGATGGTTCTAATTAGCTTTTGTGTTATTCCTTCCCTAAGTTGAGCTCCTTTTTTATCTGGGTCACAATGCCTCGGGCTTTGGCAAGTTGTCAAAAAGAAAATAGCCTGCATTATGGCACTGCGAACGTGTTCTGCAATTTTAATGGAATGCACCAGCAGCAAAAAGTGAGAAACAGACGTCGAAAAACACACTCCATGCAGTCTGGGAAACACTGGGTAGGCCACAAATGGCAGAGAGACAACGGGCTTTTGGTTTGCGATTAGCTAATGTTGTCCACATATATGGGTAATAAGATTGGATATGGACAAAAAACGATTTTTCGTGCTTACAATAAATGTTTGTTTATGGATCCATCGGTATAGGAAATACCAACAGTTGCTATAATTGAAAGCTTACTCCAAAAAATCTTTATAAAATTGTATAATTTTGATTTGGTAGAGATGCTCATGCAGTATACATAATTGAAATTATTTTTATTTGGCCTTGAAAACTCGACCCCATTTTATCTGGTTCGTTTAATGGCCGAAAAAGTACATTACATGTTTTTGTACATTACATTCTCGTTGCCTCGAACATGACTAGATCAACAAACAAAAAACATTTTTTTATGAGGAATCACTGTAAGATCTGCTCACGTACTTTATTGAATTACATTCCTAGACTTAAAAGCCCGAACAAATGTCAGACATTTACCCCCGTTGGGTTCATCTTCTTGGCTCAGTCTGCGGTCGGAACTTTAAAATAATAATAACAAAACAAGAAACCGGCTAAAGTAGCGCCTTTATGCCGCGGCTTTTGGCATTTCCAGTCACGTTGGATCGTCCGGCGACTAAAACTGATGTGCTAAACTGGCAAATTTAAAGCGCTCAAACCTGAATGCCTAATTAATACATGCGATCCATTCGAGAATTGAAAGCAAAATACCGCCTGAGTCACGCATTGAATTTGTTTTACAAAGCAATTTGTATAAACACATCGCAACTGATTCAGCAAAGCGAGCGATTTTCTGCGAACATGCTTTCCGGCAATCAAATAAATGCAAATGTAAACAAACTCGTCTTAAGACGTCACAACTTCGCAGCGAGGCAGTTCCTCTCAAACTTCCCAAAACGATAAGGTCCAGCAAATTGCTGCCCAAGCCCTAAAGCGATTAAAGCTTATTTTTACAAATGTATCTTAACATTCAACGCCTAACCTTATCGCCACTCACGCAATGTGAGTTGCTGTTTTATAGCGTCTTTGGATTTGGTTTAGTTTCCTGCATGTTTTCTTCCCCATTTAATGCGCCATTTTCCGCACGGACGTCTGCTGAAATTCAGAGATATATGGTGGCAGTAACTTCCGGTAGGCGATAAACTGCAGAATTATATCGATTATGCATTTTATGGCGCCGTAAGTCTGTCAAAATTAATCATCAAGGGGGAGGTCTGTCAGTACTTGGTACTTGGTACTTGGTCTGTTTGAAGACTTGATAAGCAGAAATCCCTTGGCAAACTTGGATAAAACCAACCACCAATGTTGAATGCTCCACTTATCGTAGCCATGTACATTGTATTCAGTTCTTCATAAAGCACATTATTATGTACAGTGAATAATAATTCAATTACGCATGGATTTCTAAAGAAAATACAGTGGTTACTCATTTACGAATTGTTTACTTTGTAAAAGACTCAGACTCTCTTTTTGGTTTATCTGCTTGTCATAAATTAAAAAAAATAATTAGAAAGCAAAATGTATAAAAAAAAAGTTGCAAAAAATAAAGCACCCACAATCCATATTAAACTTTTCGAATAGATCAAACATAGAAATACCGAGTTGATGAAATTCTACCAATTAGGGAGTGACCACTGTGGGCGCAAAGCTTGTTGTTCCCCCATTTTCCGTTAAGGGTGCTATATCGATGCCAATGCTACTCGTATCGTTTTCTGTCGTCGCTCTGGTTACAGTTTACAATTTACAATTCGAGTTCATGGACAAAAAGCAACGTACTCGCACGCACTCTACAAATGGGGGAGGATTGCCTTTCCGTGTGGGCTTTTATTGCGGCGAGTGAAACTTTTAATTAAGTTGCCATTTGCCACTGGCCACCACCACTCGTTATCACTCGGGCATAACCCCTTAACAGCCCCCTCCTATTCACTTATGCGAATTATATATTCTAGGGGTTGCTTTCCAGGACAATTGCATGTGAGTTCTTGAAGTGCTTTCTCTGCGCACATTTGCATCTGCACTCGCCGCACTTTGTCTAGGTTCATTGACACTGTAATTTCGCTATTGACAAAATGTTGTTTGCATATAGTAGCTCTTGTTGGTTCGGTAATCTCGTCAGCTGGAAAGCGGGTTTTCTGGCAATCGATAGCGCTACATTATCATGCACCCCTCTCATTTCCGGCTGCAGCCTCCACTTGTAATTATTTCCGCGCACATGTGCACGACCTTTTTGCATTTGGCCAAAAATCGCGCTTTGGCAAGCGCAGTTGTGGAATTGCAATCGACAGGCGACGGGCAGTCTGCCATGTCCACAGAAACACGCCAAAGAAAATAAAAAAAAGCATACAGTAAACTAGCTGACAAAGGAAAGCCAATGGCAGGCGATGACAGTGGGACCCCCGCCTCGTGTCCATCGACGCTTCATTGTGCGCATTGTGATTGCGTTTTATGCGCTTTGCGGTTGCAAGATGACAGGCACAACTTTGCTTAGAGAAATGGCATATAAATTTATAAATTCAATAGATAATTCAATACTAAAATGGAAGCTGTATTCATTTTCTACCTAATTGCAAGAAATTAAAACAAACGTTTTGCAGAAAAACTTTTATGACTCACTATCACTATCATTCTTATAACATGGCAGTGTGGTGCTATCATTTTGTCCTCAATTGTGCCAATGTAGTTACGGCTTTTTAGTGTTCGACTGTTGTCCACTCAATTGAGGAAATATCAAATTATGTGCGAGCAGGCGGCGCATCATCATCACTCATCCCATCCAGGCATTGTGTCCCCAACTTGCTGCAATTAGTCACTGCACTTACTCATTGTCCAGTTTATTTGTTTGATTTACTTCTGTGGCGATAAGAAGAACCAGTAGTGGCTGCTACTGCTTCATGTTCATGCTGCTTCCTGCAGCCACTAAAAATAATCTGAGATGCGACCCACGCAACGCTTCTTTTCCCGCTTCCCATCGCCTCGTTTGCTCCAATTTCGAAATGTCAAAATATGGCGAGTTTATTTTGGGAATACCCGTTTCCATTTTGTGAGCGATTGGGGAAGGATGGGAAGACCCCCATTAGAAGAAAAAGACTCAGCGTTGGAAGAACTCTACAAGTGATAAACACAAATTTTGTAAACAACTTTAAAACGATAAGGGCGAAATTAATGTTGATTCAATTCAAAAAGGAAAAATACTAATTATTTTACAAATAATGCATACACAATTAAAGTTGTTTAAATTCAGTTTGAGCTCGGAATCACATTTATTTTAATTATTTGATTACTTATTCAATTTTTTCCTGGCGGCCGTGTAATTCAAGTTTCCCAGTTTACCAGTCGCGTCATTTACTTATTGATTTACAATTTTACATACCGCTGTTTGCGCAGGCAATATGCACAGGTGCATGTTTGGTTTCGAAACAGAAAAACATTCAGGTGAGTGAGACGATCCAGACAAACCAGCCAACAACATCGGTCGAAATAAACAGCCAATTGTGTATGCAAGACGTCGCTTCTGAACATTTTTCGTTTCCATTCGGCCACGATAGATGAGAGCCAGGGCCTCCAGTGTGGGTACTTTGTAGTACATCACATGGCTATAATGATGAAACCTATGAACCTGTTAAGACATGCGGTGCATTTTAACCGTCTGTTAACCGTTACCATAAAGTTCAAGAACTTGACGCGTTTCTACGAGTAACTGCAAAAGCGTTAGAGTCTGAATCGAAATCAGACTCCCTTTGGCATTAACCCGCTTGAACATCGGGGGCAAAAACAACTCCATTCACAATAGAAGCTGCAATTGCGAAGCATTAGGCTGCTAATAGAGAAAACCCGAGTTCAATAAAGTAATTGTAGGTTGCAGAAGCCGTAGCTACAACTGTGGGTGAAATATTAGCACTACTCTGTTTAAGTTATTACCTAAAAGGTGAAGCTAAACAACAAAAATGTAATAGTATGAAATAATAAATAACAAATATAAAAAATAATTTTTAAAAAATTAGAGCCTTACTAAGTTGCTATAATTTCAAACGAAACTGTTTACAAAGTACCAAGCAAAGCACTTGCATAGATAAATTTACGATGCAAATTGCGGCAGGCATAAGCGGCAACACCAATAACAATGGCCAGCTGACCCCGTTATTTGTTGAACTGTACACGAAAAAACGATAAAGAAAATGAAAATCGCATGCACATATAGCATATAGCATATAGCATATGGCCCTGCCACAACAACAAACACATCGGACCGACCAGCAAGCAATGGGGCAGAAAAATGTACAACACCCCCGAAAAGCTCGGAGTGTGAAGTTCTTCGATTCATTGGAATGAAAACAATCAATAAAAATTAGGCTAAATCCGGTGGAAAAGCCTGTGGGAAAATGGATTATATTGCAACACAGCCACAGCAGGTGTTTGCGCACGGGAAATATGTTTTAACAATGGTTATGTTTATAAAAAAATTAAGATATTTTTCTTTGAATTATATAAACATTTTCATTTCTATCTTGCTTTTTTTATCAAAGTACTTTTCTTTTTCGTAATCTAAAATAAGCAAAGTTTATTAGTAAGACTTTTTGAAATCTTTTTTTTTGTATCTATATTTGTTTATTAAGGGATCAAACTGCATTTCAGTGCAATCCCACCCACGTGAAAACCCCCCGTAGTCTCTAAATTGATCAAACATGATTTAATAAACACAAACGGTGGCTTGATTAATTGAATCGAACAGCTGGAATAGCGTCTATTATGAGAGACCACCGACAAGTAAAACGAAAGCCAGACAACAACACCTTGATTAATTCGAAAGAAAACAACAAGAAACCGGCGGGCGAAAAGCCAAAGCAAAAGTGCCACCAATTGTCACATTGACGCAACTGAAAACTGGGGAAAAGAGTGCAATTGAAGTTAATTAAAGAGGGGATAGCGTAACACTGGCCGAAGTTAATTGCCCATCTTGGTCGGATTTGTGGTGACACCTAGCCATCAGCCAACAGCCATCAGCCATCATCGCCAGACACGCCTGAGATGATACAATTCCATTGCATCTTGGCTAATTACTTTCACTCTCATTTTTACCCGCACAAAAACACGCAATTTGTCGATATGGATTCAATTATTTATGAAACGAAAGCGAAACTTCAATTGCTCGCTGTAATCTAATAGATACTTTTTTCGTTATTACGTAGCTGCTGCTTCTAGGCGAGTGAGAAATCAAAATTGAAAGTTGCGTCTATTGGGTAACGCGACAAGGTGTATGTATCCGTTCGCGGGTAGTGGGTATTTTTATTGTCATCGGAGTGGCTGTGAGCTGTGAGGTTGCTGCTTCCTTGGCAACGTATTTTTAGCTAGAGGCCCCAACTAGTTAAACTAGTTTTCGGCTGATGATCATCAGCATCCTTCGGCTGACTCGCAAGGTCGCCGGTTTTGGAGTTTTGGAGCCTGCGCAACTAGTTTCCGCAACATGGTCGCCAATTGATGTTGCTGGTTGCTGGTTGCTCATCTGCCGCCCGCAGCAACACGCGATTTACACAGACGACAGCGCGCGCTTCTTGCGTTTTCTCTTTTAATATATTACACAATTAGATAGTAAATGGGCTTTATTTACATTTCCATCGCGATTTCCTGCCCACACTTTGGCGGAAGTTTGAACTCTTGACTCGCCGATTTCGGTCGTCGAACTTGCGATAACTAAACGGGTGTCGCCGGGGAAATTCTGCTTAAATATGAAATATGAAAGCTTTAACACTGAAAAACTTCAACAGTGCAAATGCAAATAAACTACATAAAACCAAAATGTTCAATTTAATTAAAGCATATTTGGCAATTAAAAAAACGAAAAACGTATGCTACATATTAAATCTAATAAATAATTAATAATTAGTTTACTTCACTACCATCTTTTTTAAACTAAACAAAAGCATTAGCATATGAAATAAAATATTTATTTTAGGAAACATTAAATTATGTTATTTAACCTTTTGATTTTATTGTGTTACGTTTGTTTTTATATCTGTATTAACACCCTTTTTCAAACAATTTAATACACCTGATTTGGGATGCAGATTACATTATTATTAGTAATTTATGGGACAACACCTTACTGCTATTGTTTTGCCCGCCGCTGTTGTGTGCAAATTTAGCATGAAATTGGGTTGCTTGCCAACCGCAAAAGCCCCAAAAAAAAAACCCTCTGCCTCCCACAAATTTCGCAGACATCGAGCCACGCGACCTCTGACGCCAGTGCACCCACGTTTGCATTATCGATTGCTAATCCCCGACATTGGCGTCTCGTGTTTCTATGCTGCTGGTCATTGACCAGTGACATTTCTCTTTACCTTTCTCGATTTTCTGACCACTGACTAATTAATTTGCTTTTTCGCCTTTTTCAGTTACGATACGGCTCGCGATGGTTTCTTGGATCTGCAGGAGCTGAAGTACATGATGGAGAAACTAGGTGCACCGCAGACCCATTTGGGCCTCAAGCAGATGATCGCCGAGGTGGACGAGGATCATGACGGCAAGATCTCGTTCCGGGAGTTCCTGCTGATCTTCAGGAAGGCTCAGGCCGGCGAACTGGACTCGGACTCTGGGCTGAATCAGCTGGCTCGGCTAACCGAGATCGATGTGGAGCAGGTGGGCGTGAGCGGTGCAAAGAACTTCTTCGAGGCAAAGATCGAGCAGCAGCTGAGGACGAACAAGTTTCATGATGAGATCCGGGCAGAGCAGGAGGATCGCCGGCGGGAGGAGGAGGAGCGAGCCCAGCGACGCCAGCAGTTCCAACAGCGGGCGGCGATCTTCCAGTAGAGGATCCCTATACTCACCCGTAGTCTAGCGCGTAATTATCCGGCGTAGGTTAATCGAATGTGGAACTAATCCCGGGAGAAGAGGATAAGCTTCGTACAAGCAGCAGGCATTTTTCAAGCATCACATACAGTAATAATCTCCATACATACTTATCGTCCCATATATAAACTCGATTTGCTGGCTTAAGCATCTTAGGAATTGAATGTTATTTTTGGACAAGAGCAATTGATAGAAATTGTATTTCAATCACCTAGAACATAACTCAACAATTATCCAAATGTAACGTTGAGTTTCTAAAGCATATTTTTCTAATCCATTCAAATCGAGACACTCACATAAACATACATACGTACATAAATAACGATCATACCAAAAGCGTATTTATAGTTACCCTTAGTTAAGTGAAAAATGTTTTAGTTTTAAGATCTATTTTATTGTTTGGTGTTGCGCAAAATGTCTTTTGTTAAATTACGTTTACCCTTGACGGTTGCCCAAATTTTATGTTTTTACTTTTTCATTTTGTACTTGTAGTGCCATTTTTTATTTTCTTCGTTTTAATTTTTGTTAAATAAAATCGATAATTATGTTAAGCAAATCCGTTTTTGAAATTCAACCTTTTTTGTACATACTAAACATACGTTGGCAGTCAATCTTAGTTTCAGTTGTATCAAGATGGAATATTTGGGATATGCAATTAAGTTTCGAGTTCAGTATTTCACGTTTAAAGTTAGCAATTAAAGCAATACTAATGCGAATACACAAGAAAGTACACGTACTTTTAGAGAGCGTTTAATACAAACTTATACTGCAATTTAAATAAATAAATGTATATAATACAAAATCAGTTTAATGGTTTTCATTCAATTGACTGTTTTACAAAATCATAAGCTCTCAAGGTTTTCCTATTTGTAGTGTCCTCCAAGAACAAGGTCTTGATTAGTCAAGCGTTGTTCCTAAGAGTTGTTTATATCACAAGTGCCACTGTTTATCACCGAATTAATTCCCGCTGCGAACTCTTCAACGCCTTGAGTGTGAGACCACCATCTAAGTACCCCATGGAGTGACTTTATGTTGAGGTTGTTAGAAATCATCGTGGTAATAGAGCACCTGTGAAATATTTTTGTTAATTTGAGAATAAAAATCAATAACAAGATGGTAACACACACCATGGTTTTCCAGAACTGAACTAGAACATTTTGCTACCTGGGAATGCACTTCTTTTCCCATTTTAAGTCATCTCCTGGACATCCCCTCATTCTCCGGCAATTGGACCTTTTCGAAGTGAATGTCGGCATCTCAGCATATCGCATTTCAGGGCATAGCAATGCTGGCAGACGGGACACTCATGCGGCTTGAGCTGCAGGTGGTAACCTTTAATGTGTTGGGATAGGCCGTTGCGCCTCTTGAAGACCCGCTCGCAGATCCCGCACTTGTGCTGCCGTTCCGTCGTGTGTGTGATGTTATGCTGGCGCAGTCCGTTCAGCGATCCAAATGACTTTTTACAAATATTGCACTCAAAAATCTGGGCGGGCGTAACTTTCTTTTTCAAATTGGTTACCATATGTACTTTTGCTTTGGATTTTCTGGGTCTACAATTGAGCTCGTGACGACGATACAGGCGCCAATGAGCGAAGGCGATCGCCTGGCAGTGCCGGCACTTGAAGCTCTGAAGGCGCCGATGATTTTTCAGCGACAACGATTGACAAATGTACCGCATATGCTGGCGAAGTCCCAGGCGGGATCGAAAGAACTTTAGACAACCACAGCAACGGGCGGAAAAGTTGGGCGTTAGCTTAACAAAGTGTTTTCTTTCACGTCGGTGGTGGTGTAATTTTCCCAAGCTCGAGAAACTTCTTTTGCACATTCGACAATTATACGATTTTCGATGCCTTTTTTTAGGTGTTTTCATCTTTTGGCATTTGAGATGCAATTTGCGATATTTAACAGCCAGTTTGGCATAGTTAGCGGTCATTGCAACCAATTGAGGATCAGGTGTAGGTGCTGTTAGTTGAGTAGCTGTTGGTATGAGGTCCTTGTGGTGCAGGAAACTGCTCTGCATGTCCAGTATGTCAATCTTTTTCCTGGGTTGCGTGGATACCGGACTATTCTGCCACTGTGGCTGCCAGTAATCCAAATGCTCAGTTGTCACAAAGCCTCTGTTGCCCTCCAGTTTCATGGGGGCGTTTATTGTGAGGCTGGGCAGGCTAATGTTCATGGGAGGAACACTCACCATAGGGGTGGAATTACCGTGGCTATGGGTATAATGCTGATTCAAGCTGTCAATGGTTATAAATTTCGCTGTGCACAAGGTGCAGTTGTGCAGTCTGAAGGCAGCTGAGGATTCGACCACACTATCGTTAAGTACCACAATATTGGGTTTCGTTGAAGTGGGAGGAGCAGGTGGTGGCAATAGTTCGCAGATTAACGGATTGGGTATCTGGCTTACATTGGTCACAATGGGTTTGCAGGAACGGGTTTCGGGAGCGGATAGAGGTGGTATAGGTTCCGGAAGAGGAGGAGGATCGGCAGGCGGTGGGGCAGTATCCGGAGCAGCCTCCGCTCCTTCGACCTTCTCTGTTTTGTACTGATGCGGGGGCAGTTGCCACTCCTCCTTCGCATAATTATGCTCCTCGGTCAGCAGTTCGTTTTGCAGCATTTCATTAGCCGTCCTACCCGGTTGCGTTCTCTCCGATTGGCCCACATCGGCATCGTCCGGGATATTGATAAACGGATCATCTAAGTTGATAATCTCCATGATATCGCAATTGTTTATGATGTCCTGGGAATTCAGAATGGGAAAATCACAGAACTGAAACTTTTGCTCTGTCTCCTCCTGGTCGCAACCCTCGTCCTGCTCCAAGCCCATGTCCAGTTCATCGGGAAACAGATTGTCCAGACTCTCGCAGGCCTCCTGCTTAACACGGACCAAGGGTTCTTGTTTAATTTTCAGCTGTCGACGGTATTTCTTTTGCAATTCACTCTGTGCCAGCATCACCACATCGATGAACTGGGAAAAGCGCTCTAGTTGCAGGCAGCACTCCTTGCATATATCCTTAGGTAAGGTGTCGTCCTGCAAGATCTGGAGAGTGGGAAAGCACTTTTGGATCATGCCAAAGAGCTCGAAACTCTTGTCAAACGATGAGCAATTTGTGGCCGAGGAGCCGCAAAAACGGCAGGTGGATTTAACACCTGTTGCCGGCGATTCAGCGGCACTGGCGAGGGTTTGCTTATGGGTTGGCCTGCTGCTGGGGGATACTTGTTCCACGTGAACAGTCAAGGAGTCCTCTTCTGAAACTCTAACCGAAGGCACGGCATTCTTTTTGAGAGTTTTTCTGTTATTACAGCAATTGAAGTCTTCGTCCACAAAGTGACGACTGCACACTGCACTCCATTTAGAGGGCATCCACTGACCACTCCTTTGCGTAAAGTCTTTCCATTTTTGGAGAAGGTCTTTCCGTTTAAAGGGAAATCTAAAAGAAAACGTTTGGGTTTAAATCTGATTAGCAAACAATAATTTTATTACCTGTGGAATGAAATACTGCCAGCGTGTACATATTTATGAGTGCAATTCACTACAGCGCAGTGAGCCGGCATCTTTAAAAACTTTTTTCTCCAGCCAAAGTCAAATTGTTAGTCAAGCTAAATCTGCTTATTTTGCTTGGTCCGTTGTTGATAAAAATTGTTTGTCAATCAGCTGATTTTGTTTTGCTTCTTTATTGGATCAGTGCTGGAAAGGGTCGCACAGTTTTTGTTGATAAATGTATTTATCGACTTAAAAGAAAAATCGAAATTTGAAAAAACGCAACGAAATTATATTTTTAGTTTTATAATTATATTTTTTCCTTTTTTAAGCTATAAAACAAAAGCTTCGTGTTTTAGTTTTAAGATTTTCATAATTATTAAGACACTAAACTGCCAGCTACAAGCTGGCCACATTAAATCTTATCAACAAATCGAACAGCTGACACGCGCGTCCTCCCCTTGAACCACCCCCTTTACCGTTAGCCCGTCGTACTTATCAATTAGCGCGTTTTATGACAGTGCCCCTGTCGCCCGAAAATCCCATCAGATGTCCGATCCGTGAGCGTATTTATTTTCTCTCGGCGCACGGAAAACTTCCACAGGCCTTAGCTTCAGTCTGTCGATTCGCTCGGAGGCGGTGCACGCATAATTTGGCTGAGAAAAAGGCAAGGTCAAACAAGGTCTTTTTTTTCGACTGGCGAAAAAATCCAAATAAGTGTGTGCGCGGGTGGTGAAAGGAGAAAGCTAGAGAAATGGCACAAGTACGACTTTTATTGCAGGGAGTACGGAGGGGACTTCTCAATGTAGGTGTCGCCACGCCCCAAGACTCGGCCGGCCAGGTAGCAACCCAAATACGCCTTCAGCACAGTTCGACAAACTGCGGGTAAGTCTCTTAAGATTCCGATAAGATTCTCTCACATTCGAGTGTGTTCTAGTATTCACTTATACTCGTTGCTTGTAGATAATCTATGTATGTTCCTTAGAGAGATTATGTTGTACTTACCTAGCCTCATGCAAACAAAAACTTTCAAATTTGCCATTTTTAATACCCTCTTATTTTGTATTTGTATCAACCACGAAAAATCTTTCTAAAAAGATTACACATAATTATCATACCCATAATTGCTGAGTAAAACCGAAACATTCTGGTTATGGTGTGACAATTTTAATACATATTGCTTTTTGTTCTTCTCTTAGAGATTATGATCTGGTTGTGGTTGGCGGCGGTATTGTGGGCGCTGCCTCTGCCCGAGAGATTCTGCTCCGCCATCCCTCTCTCAAAGTGGCCGTCTTGGAGAAGGAGTCCCAGTTGGCGAAGCACCAGAGTGGGCACAATTCCGGAGTGATCCATGCTGGCATTTATTACAAGCCGGGAACTCTGAAAGCCAAGCTTTGTGTGGAGGGAATGCATTTGGCCTACGCTTATTTGGATGAGAAAAAGATCCCTTACAAAAAGACCGGCAAACTGATTGTAGCCACAGATGAAAAAGAGGTGAAACTGCTGGGCGATCTGGAAAAACGTGGCATTGCCAACAACGTTCCCGATTTGCGAATGATCGAAGGCAGTGAGATCCAGGAGATCGAACCCTACTGCAAGGGATTGAAGGCTCTCCACAGTCCGCACACAGGAATCGTTGACTGGGGATTGGTAACCCAACATTATGGCCAGGACTTTAAACAGTGCGGCGGTGATATCTACCTGGATTTCAATGTCAACAAGTTTAGCGAGACCAAGGAGGGCACTGATTATCCGGTGACCATTCATGGCAGTAAACCAGGACAAACCGTTCGCACTAAGAATGTCCTGACCTGCGGTGGATTGCAATCCGATCTGCTGGCTGAGAAGACAGGATGTCCCAGAGATCCTCGAATCGTGCCATTCCGCGGGGAGTACTTGCTGCTGACCAAGGAGAAGGAGCACATGGTTAAGGGTAATATTTATCCAGTGCCAGATCCCCGTTTCCCCTTTCTGGGAGTTCACTTTACGCCGCGCATGGACGGTTCCATCTGGCTGGGACCAAATGCAGTGCTGGCCCTCAAACGAGAGGGTTACACGTAAGTGTTACTCTTTGAATTATCAAAAAACAAACTTTACCTAACATATTTTCTTTCCAGCTGGGGGGACATAAATCTTTTCGAGCTCTTCGACGCCCTGCGCTATCCGGGCTTTGTGAAGATGGCCAGTAAATACATCGGCTTCGGTCTTAGCGAAATGTCCAAGTCGTGGTTCATCAACCTGCAGATCAAGGCGTTGCAAAAGTACATCCCAGACATCACTGAGTACGATATTCAGCGTGGTCCCGCGGGAGTTCGTGCTCAGGCGATGGATTTGCAGGGCAATCTGGTAGACGACTTCGTCTTCGATCGGGGAGAGGGCTCTGGAGCGCTGGCCAAGCGGGTCCTCCACTGCAGAAACGCGCCATCGCCCGGAGCAACCAGCAGTCTTGCCATCGCCAAGATGATCGCCGATAAGATCGAGACTGAGTTCTCCATCGGCAAGTGATAACGAATATCCTAACGAAAACCAAAGCAATAGTACAAAACTATTGTCCATCCATCGTCGTCAGTAAATCAGATACATACTACTGTGTACCAAACTTTGCCTTTATAGTGTGTCCGTAATTTAAAAATCTGTCTTTAAAGTGGACGAAATAAGTTTGTAAAAATTGTATAATCAATTTTGTAAACTTATTTGATTCACTATTGCATTTTGTTACGTAAATTATAAAGTTAATCTATTTTGTATTAAAATAATTAAAAACTTTATGTGAAATTTAAAGGCGTTTAATTTTTAATTAAGTTCTAGTATGTGGCGGGTTTTCCTTGAAGGAGAAACCTCGTCCTTAATGCCCAGCACCTTGATCTGTTTTTGAAATGTTTTCTCCTGCAAGCTAGATTGAATCAGCTGTCGGCACTTTTCATTCAATATTTTCAGACCGTTTGCCGCATGCTGTCGCATTTGAGAATCACAGGACTCCTCCGCTTCAATTGCTTTTAGGAGCCGATAAATTGGCAAAAGCATTTCTTGATAATCTAGCAGATTCTCCATGCCATTTAACAGTTCAGCTAAGACCAAAACAGCTGCCCTCTTAGCGGGCACATAGTCTCCAGTGGTTAACTCGCTATTAACCAATTGGAGTAGCTCTTCGAAGAAGTTTTGAACCTGATAGGCCAACAGACGACAAAGCTGGGCGAGATTGGCAAACGCAGACATCCTGAATTCGTGAACTGGAGAGCGTGAGCCATGCATAAAGCAATTAAGGAGCACTCCTTTGTATCGATAGCAGAGAGGGCCTGAAATTAATCAACAGCAGAAATATAGTTTTAACTTTAAATGTCTTGCGGATAACTCACCCAACTCCTGTGCAACTTTAAGAATAGCTTCTCCCACAACCAATCGGTAGTCCAGATCAGCAGTCTCCGATAAGTACTCTTCACTCAGCTTGTCCAGCACCTCGGACTCCATCACATGAACCAACGACACAAAAAGCCGAACGCAATTCAGGAATGTGTACGATTCCTTATCCTTCAGAGTGGTCAAAGCCAAAGCTATAATAAGATGACCCTGCGACATCGTGGCTGGATCTCTTTTCTTGATCAAATCTATTATTAGTTGAATGCCATAAACTTGAAGATGGGATTGCTTTTCCTCTATCAGCGATCGAGCTTTTTGGAAGGGTAGAACTTTGACAGCTTCACTTGGCCGCCATGCTCCGTTGATTAAAGTAAGCAGGGAGTTTACAGATTGATTTATAAGATGGTTAGATGATTGAGAGCCTAACTGATGCAGTTGCTCTTTCAGTTCTTTTGTTCCATCTGAGAGCTGAAGATCTTCACTGCTCTCGAGTAGTTCTTGCAATAGATTAAGTACAATTAGAAGGATGTGATCCGTTGTCTCCTGCTCTTCTGAGCGGTGATGAAGTAAATCCTTTAGGATTATCAAGAACTGCTTGGTGTGCAAGGCTAGCTGAGCTCTCAATGGTTGATGGGCCACCATTTGGTTAAGAGCGATAAGCAAATCCAGCTTAAGTTGATACTTGGAGTGAAGGAATTCCTTGAGTTCCGTTTCAGAAGAAATAAAATCAACGCTAGCTGAAGACTTTTCTCTAAGCTGATCACCCATGAATTTTAAGAGACCCAAAAAAACATTGCAGGTAAGGGAATTATGAGTGCTGGATATCAGCAGTCCAGGCAATATTCGGCCCATATCATGATCAACTTGGTGGTCCTTGTGTGCCACTTTAACCTGAATTTGGTTGGAGTTCGTTAAAGGCAGGATAAGAATACGTGAGTTAAGGCTCTTCCATGGAGGCTCCTTTTCGATTTCCCATTTAAACAATCTTTCTAGTATAACAGGTAATTCCCTTTTCGTATCTCTGTTATCTAGACAGCGTAAAATGATTGCAGAAAGCTGCTTCGTGGCAGGAAGATCCAAGGGTAAGCTATCGTAGAGTTGCAGAAGTAAAGGAAGGTAAGGAATTAGTAGATCACTAGGTAAGCAAGCCACGCTAGAGGAACAGAAAAATTGATGCCACAGCAGGATCCGATTGCAAAACTCCTGGTGTTCCATTAGGATAAGGCCACTTATTACGTCTTCTGGGTTTCTAAGAGTTTCCCAGTGTTTGGATAATATCTCATTAATCTTCTGCTTATTAGCATCATTTAAATCGTAAAGTCTTCGTAGGGATAGGACACCAGCACACATTTTGTCCGCATCCTGTAGGTAGAATTTACAGTATTCTAACACCTGGAGAATCATTTTCTGTTGGGCAGTTTGAGAGAATCCTTTTCTTGCCACAATACTAGCCACTATTTCTGCGTTTCTTGTGGGACTTGCATTAGGAGTTTGATGCAGCGCATCCACAAAGCTGGCAAATCCTTGGGGTGAGTGAAGTTTTCCTAGGAGTTGATTGTGCAACAATTTGGCCAGAGGTTCGCAGAGAGGTGTGGCTTTCAAGAGCAAGATGTGGCGGAAGAAATCTGCCTTTGATTCATGCTGCCAGAGGTAGGTTATTGCCTTATCAAGATATACAGAATCCTCCCGAATACGAAGACTCATTATGGCCGCCAGAAGATCCCTTTGCACCAGCTCCATGGAGTTGGCTATGTGAAACTGGCGGATAGGCAGTAGATTTACAAAGAACTTGATGCTCAAGAGCAGTAGTGATGAGTTAGCCTTGACTTTTGCTTGGGCCTCATGGAATATGGGTGACTTGTAGAAGTCCTCATGGAGTTGACATCGAAGTGAATAGTAGGACAACTCCTGAGTGGCTTGAATACAAAGTTTAAGGTGCGCGACCGATATAAGGTCCTCCTTTGCGTCGCTATGGAAATTAATATTTCTCGTGATCGAGTGGAGCACATGTTGCAATCTGACGATGTAGGATACAGCGGCGTCTACTGTCGGGATAATAAGGGACTCCTGCTCCGTTGTTAGCTGATATGCCTCGCACAGCTCATGCAACTGCTGATCAATCTCTAGTTTGGCATATTTTTCTAAAACAACGAGGTTTTTCTCCAAGGCGGAAGGAACTTCGGAGTTATTTTTTGTATTAGCTCTGAAAAATTATATGTTGAATTTATTAATCATTTTATACTAATTACCTAATGCCTTATTAAACTTTAAACTCTCTAAAAGAGCAAAGAACTTTGCGGTGTTTATCATTGTTATCGCGGTAAATAAAGTTTTCCGAAATTCGCGACCATGGCTAGAGATGAGTGTTTACAAGCACAGGTGTAGTCGATAACATAAACATAATGGTGCTGAGATGTTAAGTGTTTGAAGTCTTCAACGGCATAGCTGTTAAGTCATCCAAATTGCAAATTCCGGGCTTAAGTATGATCAAGTAATATAAATCAAAGCTACACATTGTTTTTAGTGCAATATATTATTTGTTTTGATATAGCTACTTTTCTTCCCTTTTAGCTAGCAACTTTTTTTGTCAATCGATAGTCGGCTGCACTGGCGGCGGATTGCGCATTGGCTGCAGCACACCGCCCTGGTCACACTGGCCCCCACGAACAACTTAACAAGAGCAGCAGGAAAATCGAACAACTTTCTTTTTCCCCTGCATTGTGTGTGTGCATGCAAAATCACAAAGTGCGCAAAATAGCTTCATTCAGCTAACCGATTCGACTCAAACGTGGATTAATTGGCCAGCGGCTTCGACGCCCCGCTCACCGTCAGCCGCCCTCGCAAAATATTAATAAATTGCCAAAAACACCTACGCGCAGGCAATTAAGACCGTGTTGTTGTGTGTGTGTGCTCGCGAGTGTATGTGTGTGTGTGTGAGCTGGGCAGTAAACATTTTCTGGTGAAAATCGGTGGAAAATGAAGAAAATCCTGTCCAAGTTCGAGCGCAATGAGAACTCGCGACTGGAGAATCCCCCTAACAGCAGCAGCTCGTCGTCCTCGAACGAGAAGAACAGCTTTCTCGGCAAGGTCTTCACAGTGGGACGCGTCACGGTCACCGTGGAAGATGTCCTGGCAGAAGGTATATACCCAAAATGTGCCTAAATGTACATATGTATAACCCCTATCTCACACGTAGCACTGTGATTATACCTATCACCTGGCTGATTTACAGGTGGGCAGTAGTAGAGTGCATGCCCTCTTTCGGTTCTCCCTTCGCCAGATTAGATAAAACTGCGAGTATTCCCAAATGTGGGGCGTACACAAACCCCGAAAGAGCATACAAATCAGCTGCGTATTCCATTTATTAGGGGCGCCACTTGTCGCATTTCCGATTATACATACGGTCGAAATAACACAACATGTACTGTTAAAAGTATTCACTACTGAACATTTAATAAGAACATACATATTTGAAATGTACATATTATCTATAGATTTTTGGGCACGATTTTAGTTTCCGGGGCGCCAAGATTTGAGGACATATTTTGGGTAATTGACCCAAAATAAACACTTTTTAATAAACAAAATTTTTTGATGCGCGCGCACTTATGCATTGATACATATGCTATATTATTTTTTTAGGTTATTTGTTATAAAAAAACTAAGCTAAAAACTGAAAATTGGCCAAAATTTTAATTTTATAAAAATTATCTCAAAAAATAATATAGCATATGTATCAATGCATAAGTGGCGCGCACTTATGCATTGATACATATGCTATATTATTTTTTGAGGCAATTGTTATAAAAAAAACTAAGCTAAAAACTGAACAAATAAATTTAAGTGTTCGTCTTCGACCGAAAGTACCGCAAATCTTGAAAGTTCCACGAAAAATACGTGCAATAAGTAATTTCGCCTGCTACCAGCCCTCACTATAATCCGAAATTTAGGGCTCGATATCTCGTAAACGGTGCGAGAAATCGAAAAATTTTATTTATTAAAAAGTGTTTATTTTGGGCCAATTACCCAAAATATGTCCTCAAATCTTGGCGCCCCGGAAACTAAAATCTCCCCGATTTTTGTTCAGAGGATTTTGATCCAGTTAACTGGAAACTTTAAATTTATAAAGCACTGCAAATAAATCTCCAAACTAGTTAGGCTAAAAACTTTCTTGAACTCCGTTGCTTGACCCTCAAAAATTCATAACTTCCACGTTAATGGCACTCTAAGTTACCCTTGGCCCAGAATTTATTTCATAGCTCTAGTTTTTAATGGGTTGGAAAAAGGCCAAATGTACAGAAATGAGCAAAACTCTTTCATGTTTTTGATGTAAATAAAAATTTCGTTTGCGACGAATGCTTTTCGAGATAAGGAAGCTCGACTGTACAATAACAGTCACAGTTCTGGTTGGTTTTTCCATGGAATATCCATAGAATTCCCGTAGCCACTACACATGGCCACAAATCAATTGAATCAATTATGTTAATTTAGCCAATGAAGCGGCAAGACCAACACTCAACTGCTTTCATTTGCCGCCTGTCTCCCGTTTCTCACCTTTTAGCCCAGCTAAATGGCAAAGTTCGCCCCTAAGGAATCGCACTGTCCTTGTCCTTGAATTGCGGAGTGCACCGCATATCCTGCAGTGCGAGTGGCTCCTTGGCATTCGCCATCTAACATTTGATCATCTAACGATTGCCCACACAATGCCTTCCATTTGCTACCTTTCCTCTTGCCGTTACGTAGTTTTATTTTATTTTTTACTTTTGTAATTTTGGCAAGCGAACTCGATTCGTAATGTTGTTTTGCGCTGCGCTGGCGCCGCTGCCAGACAGTCAGCTGTTGTCAGGGATACCCATTAATGCACCTGAAGAAGGGTTTGTTGGGCCAGAGCATAAAGTAATTACTTGGTTTCTTAAATTGTTTGATTTTTAAACATCCAAAACTGTAGGCTCCTTTTTAATTGAATTAACATATGTATAAAACGATTCTTAAATTTAACGTTTTTGGAAGTAAATATTATTAAAGAAAAACGTTTTAACTGTTTGTTGATACCAATCGTAAAAACCTGTTTTTAATATTTAAATAATTATCTATTGCTGGAATTGCTGGGTATCTTTACTGTAAAACATTGCCTAATCAGCGTTAATTTTTTACCTGTTTTCTTTAACTTGAGTTCTGAGCAGCCAACAAGACAGCTCCAATAACAACAACAATTGCAAATGACTAAGCGACAAACGGTTAACGAACGAAGCTTCCCTCTACTTCCCACTTAAGCCCCCCTTGACGCCCACTTTGCATTTTAACTCCCCTTTCCCCCCACTTTTTTTTCTACCCTTGCCTGCGCTTCAAATTGCCTTCTCAAGTTTTTTTCGCTTCGCTACAATTTCGCAGTGTTATTGTTGCTTTCCATATTATTATTACTGAATGTTGTTGCTGTACTTTTTGCCAAAGTTGATTTGTTGCTGTTGGCGGGCAACCTTCAGCATTGATTAACATTTGACGCCATAATTTCACAAAGTCGAGCAAAAATTGTTACATTCGTTTGTCCGCTGTTCATTTCTCTCGTATCACTCATACACACAGAGAAATAATGGTAATATATTTAATATATTATTTTGGGATTTTAACTACATTAATTGCTTGAATGGCTTGAATCAAATTAAATTAGAAATATTTGATGTACAAGTAAGCTGAGATTTTTCTCAGTGCCCACACTGCCTGTACATTTCTCGCCCCCCCCCCTGAGTTCCCCCCGTTGAGTATTGTTATTGTCGCATGTTATTGTTGTTATTTCTGTACGTGACCTTCAATAGTTTAGTTTATATTGCGTTGCTTTTTTATCGTACATTTTGAAGTGGCGCAGAGCGACAGGTGAAGAGGGTCTGAATGTGAAGGGGGTTCTACTTGAATTCTATTTGCAATAATATGAAATAAACCTCATGCAAATCGCCTGTTAGGCAAAACATGTGTAAACCGTTCCATGGCCAGACAGTAACAGCTATCGTACGGATGTATATACCCTATAAATTTTTACTACAGATGTGGGCACGTGAAATATGTTAAATAAAATAGATTCACATCACGTATCGATGCATTACTAAAAAAAATAGATTCAATACATTTAATGACCTATTTATGTGGTATTAATTACCAACATTAGCAACATTATTTTGTATTTAAGGGATTTTATGTTTATAAATTGTATACAATGATTTTGTACTGGCTTTATAGTAAATACCAAGGGTATTTATTGGGCTGCGTTTTGCAGAGTGATACTCCTCTTATTCACATACAAGTATACTTTGATGTTTACAGCTGACAGCTGTTATGGATGCAATGTCTAGCCCGTCAACTCACCCCCACTAATGCTCTTTTTTTCTACCTACCCATCCCCTACCGAAACTCACGCAGGTGGCTTCGCCATGGTGTTCTTGGCCAGGGGAAACGGCGGAGGCAGTGCCTCGGCGACCAAGTACGCCCTGAAGCGAATGTACGTCAACAATGAGCACGATCTGAATGTAGCCAAGCGCGAGATACAGATTGCGGTGAGTAAATAAATCAGGACAAACAAACCTAATCTAATAGAACAAACACTTTCACTCCGACAGAGCAACCTGAGTGGGCACAAGAACATCATCGGCTACGTGGACTCGAGCATCACGCCCACCGGGAACGGGGTGTGCGAGGTGCTCCTCCTGATGCCCTACTGCAAGCATCACATGCTGGCCATGATGAATGCAAGGTAAGGCCACAAAACCAATTAATAATTTTAACTTTGTAAAATCTAATTAATTAATTACTCTTCCATTAGATTACACGTTGGCTTCACGGAGCCCGAGGTGCTGAACATCTTCTGTGATATTGCCGAGGCGGTCTCCCGATTGCACTACTGTCAGACCCCAATCATTCACCGTGATCTAAAGGTGGAGAACATCCTGCAGACGGACGCGGGCAACTTCGTACTCTGCGACTTTGGTTCGGCAACGGCCAAGACGCTGAACCCCCAACAGCACGGAGTTACTGTGGTGCAGGAGGAGATCCAGAAGTACACCACACTGTCCTATCGAGCTCCGGAAATGATTGACCTATACGGCGGGAAGAGCATCACCACCAAGGCGGACATCTGGGCACTGGGTTGCATGCTCTACAAGCTGTGCTTCTTTTCGCTGCCCTTCGGGGAGAGCACACTGTCCATCCAGAATGGGCAGTTCTCCATCCCGGACTCCTCCAAATACTCGAAGGGCATGCATCAGCTGATTAAGTACATGTTGGATACGGATCAGGATCGGCGGCCTAATATTTGGCAGGTCTGCGAGGTGGCTTTTCGACTAGCTGGCAAGGATAATCCCGTGCAGAATCTTCATGTAAGTGGATACTACCTTACCTTAAAAACTTTAGAAATGAAATCATTTGTTTTATGTTTTTTACAGAAAACTCCCATTCCAAATTTCGATCTTCTAGTGGTGCCTCCCTTCGAATCGGAGGCCAAGAGGATGAGTGCCGCAGCCTCCAAGGCGGCAAAAGCCCAAAACGTGTCGGTTGTGGAGGCGGGCACCAGTGTAGCCCCTCGATCGCGACCCAAGGGCTCTTCCTCGGTGCATGGAGGCAATCCCTTGGGTCTCGGCTTGCCGCCCAGTCCCTCTCCAAGGCAGAATATCACCTCCCCACAGCCTCAACCGCAACCGGTGGTCGAGCAGTTCCAGGCCAACTTCCCAGCCATGCCGCCAGCTGTTGCCCCACCTGCTCAGCCGGTTACTCCCGCAGCTCCTGCAGCCAATAATCTCTTCGAGACTAGCGGATATCCAGATCCCTTCAATGAGCCAGCGACAGCAGCAATTGCAGCTGAATTTATACCAGCACCAGAGGAGAACAACAAAGAGGAAGTGCCTCAGGATTTGAGTGTCGACGGTACGCCCACTAAGACCATGCTGACGCCTCCGAAACCCAGCGGAGGTGGTGGTCATAGGCGAAATGTTAGCGACACCTCGGCCTTCAATAAGTAAGTGGAGAAAGTTTGAAAAGATTATCTAAAATCAAGAATATATATTTTAAATTTAAGAAATGCAATGGGGGTTTCTAATATAAAACCCGTAAAAAGAATTACAACTTAAATATCTAAACGAAATATTCTTGATTTTAGACCATTTTTAATAGCTTGATCCAGCACGATCTGTATGTGTTCTGTGTTCTGCTCTTCTCTTGCTCTTTCACTCACTCTCTGCTTGTCTCTTTCTGTGTGTTCCTTATCCTTAAGAGCTACAAGTGACCAGGATGAGGCCGATGAGCCGCGGAGTCAATAGAAACTTTGTAGCCTTAAGATCTGTTACTTCCCGAATTTACTTTCTTTGCTTTGCTTGCTCTTTTCCCTTAAATACTTTTTTTCAACCTATCGCTCACTGATCACGTAATCATTCATTTATTTTGTTGCGATCCAGAACGTTTGCCAATGAGACAAGTCAGTTTCTGGCTCCGTTTAACAATAACCTGGCTGCCGTGGGAGATGGTCCCCAGACTTTGGCCAGTGCTGCTTCAAATCCTGGTATTTACGCATCTGCAACGGCGAACTCTTCAGCCGTGTCCATTAGCGAATTGATGAAGCCTGGCCAAACGGCGGTGGAGAAACGAGTGGAGGCTTGGAACCCGTTCGAGGAGGAGCAGCCCTTCAGCCAGATGACCGAGGACCACATCTTCGAGGCGGAGTTTGATAAGATCCGCCAGAGAGGCAGTCAAGGAAGTAAGTTGAGGCAAAGGAGTATATTTTGGCAATATAATATTATATGATTTTTTAAGGTATCACAGCCAAATCGGCATCTACAACTTCCACACTGACGCCCACGGAGCAAAATCCTCCGGCGGTTGTGGCACCCATTTCCACTGCTACCGTTGCAGTGCCTCCGCCTCCGATTGCAGCCACTGTGTCGCCGCATCCGCCGCAGATTTCGGAGGATCCCTTCGGATCGGCGCCATTCAGTTTGCCACCCGGACTGCGCGAGAAGGCCATCTCGCTGCGCAAAACCGGAGGTAAAGCATGAAATTCTACCTTATCCGTTTGCAATGCCAGAATACGTTTAGTTTTCCGATTGTTGCTTTTGTTCGCTCTCAATCTCTTGACGCAGAAAGTGAAAGTGATTTGAACGTAGACGTAGACGTAGTCTAAAAACTTCCTAGTAACGCTCAGCTCAGCTCAACTCGTCAGATAGCCGCCAAGGCGATCTCCTCGATATCCTCCATCCAAGGAGCCGCTTCCAGACAACATCCGATCAGCTCCAGCCTATAGATTATCCGTTAACTAGCCAGCCGATCGCTGATCGATCGAATGATTTAGCGTGCCATATAGATGGGTGGAAGATCCCGCGACGTAGACTACTTAAGTGCAATCAATCAATTTGTAAATACCCGAAAATGCACCCACTAACCTACCCCAAAATAACCCAAAGTTACTATCTTATCTTATCTTCTTAAAACTTTGTTCGTAAATGTTAATCAATTACAAAAAAAAACTTACAAGATCAGTAAAATTCTAAAAAATTAAAGCTTTGTAGCTTCCTTGTAAAAATAATGTTATTCAAAAACATTCAAAATTAATTGTTGACGCCGTCAATTTTTTATTTCTTAAAACTATTATTTTAAGTAAAATTAGCAAACATTTTCAAGTATTTTTTATGTTTTAATAAGTTTATAATTTTTATCAAAGACCTGTTTGCACCTTTCTTCCTTTCCCTTCAACAACCTCCAATCTAAGCGCTTCTAACAAAATAATTCCTGGTGCTGGTACTATGCTAAAAACAAATGAAAACAAACCAAAATTAATACATAATAACTAGCTTCTATGTAAATTTAGTCATCAGCAGTAAAAGAAATTAGCGGTTGTGGTTCGAAAACTAACCAATCAAAAGAACAAACTTTCAATTATTTTTATTGTACGATTCATTGGCCTACTTGTATATGTATCTACTCAGTGTATAATTGTAAATTTAGCTGCCTAAGAAAAAAAATGACTAGAACTATTTATTCATGTTGTTGGCGTAGAGTGTGAAGAAATTAAAGTCTAACTAGCGTAAACATTTTTGGCAATAATTTGCATATCAGAGTTATTACTTACTATTCATGTGTTAAAAACGTGCAATTCTAAAGATTTATGCTAGAGATTATTATTATGGATCCGTGGATCCAATTACCGCTCAACATGACCGCAAGCTCGATTAAGATTTTTGTCTTCTAATTGTTTTGTATTTTTGTTTTCGATAAAGTCCGCCTTAAGCTGCGATCGCTGCGGATGTGGCAGCAAACGAACAAACAAAAGTAACTCAATCAATTGTTAATGATCAACACGAGAGTCCAATCAACGCCAGTCCGAGATAGTCTATAGAAACGTTTCCAAATTGTCCAGATTGCTCTCTTCTCTTGGCCCTTTACACACACACAGTAACACCAATTGAAATGTTCAACTAGCTATGTATGCCCACTTATCTTGTTAATACTGTACATAAGACAACTAACCGAAGAGAGTGAACAAACGAACACCTTAATGCGTTAAACCAAAGAGCTAAAATTTAGTAACTAGAAGGACAGATAAAGCGCAATGAAAGCAACAAAAGTCAGGTAACCAAGACACATACAAGCAAATTATCAGATGACAACAAATACAGATTATATATCTATATATACATAAAGCACTATATATTTATACAAACCAGTTAAGAAAGGGCGTTAGCTTAAGTTCAGCCACAAGAAATTGTATGAGATTTAAACCAAAACTGAAGCAAAACCGCAATAAACTCTATATTATGTTTGAAAACCAAACTGAAAATTCACAAATGTAAATCAAACTAACTAAATGTGTGGGTAATATAATAAATAAGTAATTGGTTTGCTGGGCATGCACAGAACCAAGTAAAGTTTGAATTAGACTAATCTACTTGCAAAATGATTTCCAAAAAATATCAAATTTGTAATTACAACTGTGCATGCCACAAAAACAACAAATAGTTCACCGATTTAACTTTTGGGTCAACATTAAAACGTATTCCAGCTTCTATCGTCGTCGTTGCCATTTAACTAACCAAAATATTACGTATACGTCACGTTGAGCATTGAGCATTCATAAATCACTCAGTAAGACATAACAATTTCAGGGGATCATCGTCATGCTCTCAAACACTTCATTCATATTTAGTTGTAGAACAAAATGCCGCTAACCCGTAATCTCATTACCTTACTGCATAAAAGTCCTTCGCTCTCGTCCACAGCGAAATTCATCGGCGTCTCGTCCGGCGTATCGGTAGGCGGCGTGGCCACGTCCATCGGCCTGGTGGCAGGCGGAGTCAACACCGCCACCTCATCGAACTCGTCCAAGTGGCTGCTCTCGCCCACTTTGGAGGTTTCCAGCGAGGAGAAGACCTCGCTCATCAGCAAACTGAAAACCGATTCGGAAGGAGCAATTCCCGGCAGTGTGGGTGGACCCGGAGAAGGTGTCACTGGTTATGTGAAGCTGCCGCTAGAGGATCGCAACAAGTATGAGAAGCTGCGCAGCAAGGATCAGCCCACGTCCGATGACTCCGATTCCGAGGGCTCTGAGTTCTTTCAGCAGGATAGCGATGAAGGCGGTGGCGGCATCTTCAAGCAGATGCAGTTGGTGACCAGCACGTTGCCGGAGACCATTCACAAAATCCAGCAGGTGGCCTATCACAAGGTGGACAAGACAGCCCATCTGCCGATTGTGAAGAAACTGCGCGAGAAGACCAAGAAACCCACGACGGCTGCCCATCAGGCGGCCCAGCAACTGAATCTCATGGCGGCCGCAGTGGCTGCCCAAGCTGAGGAGGCTGCCAAGGCGGCGGAGTCCGATGGCGATTCCATAGGGTCTGCTAGTGATCTGCGAGCCGAGGACGATGACCTGTTCGACGAGAATCCTCGACAGACGCAGGCCAAGTTGCGTCGTCCGTTGCCAACGGAAATGGATGGCATAAGCGAGTCCGTCAAGACCTGCAGCAGTTCCGCCTATCATGCCGAGTGCGAAAGTGTGACCACCCACGAGGATGATGTGCGCAGCAGGGTGGTGGTCAAGGTGCGGATGAGGAAGAAGGACAGGAGTCTTGTGGCCGGCAACGGAGATCCGAGTGCACCGTCCGAGGAACTCAGTCCCACGTCCAGTGATCTGCTGCACAAGTTCGGCGATCGACCGTTGCTGCTGGACGATGAACTGGATTACGGTTCGGGGGAAAGCAAGAGCAGCACTGAATCTCCACTGGCAGCTCCGCTACCAACCAATCCCGAGGTGCCGGAATCAGAGGAGGATGTCTTTGCCCTGGCTCCGTTTAAGTTACCCGTGGGTATTCCCCTGAAAAGGAAGAGCAAGCCCAAGACCAAGCCAAAACCCACGGAACCCGAGATGTGGACCTCGACACCCGTTAAAGGTGCAGGAGTGCCAGAACCTTCGGCCAACTTTGCCAGCTTTCCGGCGCAACTAACGCCAACGAACCAAACGGGGAATTCCCCACAGCTGGACGAGTTCAACGAACCAATTTTCAATCCCTTCCAGGAGAACTCGCAGAAGCCGCCGGAGCAAGTGGAGAGCAATCAGTGCGATCTGTTTGGCCTGGAGCCGTTTCCCCAGGTAATTCGTACCATCGAACAAAACCCACAGCACCACCAGATCCACAACTTTCCCCAGAACAACAACAACAACAACAATAATAATAATAATAACAATGTGATCAAAGTGCCCGCCTCCGTGTCTGTGTCTCTTCCCGCCTCCGCCTCCGTTCCCGTATCCGTTTCTGTGAATGTCTCTGCCCCACAACTGGTGACCATAAATCACTCGATTATTATCAACAAAACGCCGGAGCCACCGATGAACTATATGAACAACAACAATAGTATTGGCCAGACGGTCAAATCGAGTGGCACCAGCAGTGTGTATGTGAATGTGCCGTCTTATTCCAGCATGAGCACCACCAGTTCCTGCTCCATTAACCAGCCACAATCCTCACCAGCAGCTGTCATCCCGGTTGCGGTTGCGGTTGCGGCAGCATCCGTTCCAGTTCCAGTTCCAGTTCCTGCCCCCGTTTCCATAGCGGTTCCAGCTGCTGCTGCTGCTCCAATTCCCGTGGCCGCCACCCATCTCCGCCCGTTGCTACCCATTGCCGATAATGCTTATGTGCAAATCTCCCAAGATCGCTGCTCCGATTTTACACCGGACGACGAGGAGGAGCCCGTGGTGCTGCGTGGTGCCGATGTGGTGGCAGACGGACTGGGTATACCGACCCCTGGAAAGGCCAAAAAGAGAAATCCCATCTGGCTGTGAGGGTTCTGCCCGGCAAGCTGACCCAAAAGGTGAAGGGTCACTCGTACAAGAAGGTCAGCGCTGCCGCCTTGGGATCCACCAGCTCCCTGAGTTCCGGCAGCAAGCAGAAGCACCAGCGATTGCAGTACCAGTCCCACGACGATGACGACGACGAACCGGATCAGGACGAGAACCGGGGAGCCGGCGGCAGTCGCAATTTCCAATCGAACACCATACAAAATTCAGCGAAAACCGGCTTCAGCAACATGAGCTTCGAGGACTTTCCCTCGGATCAGGAAATGGATCGTTTGTCCAGAACGATTCCGTTCGAGGTGGTCAGGAACGAGAAGATGTTGCTCGAGGCGGAGAAGAAATTCGGATCACTGAAGAGGCGTAACAATCTGTTCTCCTAGACGGAGGATTGGGCAAAAAGAAAACTATCAAGGAGACCTGAGACTGAGTGTTTCAAATTATTTTGGCATTTCGTTTAAGCTTTTCTCCGTTCCGTGTTTATTTTTCATGTCGTTCCAATATCAAATAACTGTATTTTTTGAGCCTAGTATTTATTCGCGTATAGCAATGTTGAAAAGTGGTTAAAAATATTAAAACCTACACACACATATTATACACACAACAAGATCAATACCTATAACTGTTATTTAGTGCAAAAATGTAAAATAGATTTAGAGGCGAAAAAAATGTTTTAGAATTTATACAATGCGTAAGCTTACCAAAGTTACATTTATGTTTGTGGCATTTTTCCGCTTGAAATATTCCCCCAATTATTTATTTATACAAAAACTACATATGTGATTATACACCCAATAACAACCCCAAAAACCAATTTATCACTTAAACCAATTGCATTAACTAACACCAAGGTATTTAAGGATTAATTATTCTATCCGTATCGATTAACATATGCGTCTATGTTAGTATACCATTTGTTTTGCATATGTATTATCTCGACTATATAAAATATGCGTATTGTATTTATATTTTAATCGAGTGTTTTAATTGGTGTTCTTGGTAAACAATAACAAACTTGGTCCAAGGTTCAATTTTTTGACCACCTCTGTCTCTGGGGCAGTGTGTCACCTGTGGGGTTGTTTGTTTTCAAGAGCTATCTTGAAGACATCTGTTGCTTATTCGAAAAAAATATATAAATGTATACATATATATATAATTGCGGTTAAGTACCTTATACTTTCCTCTACTTTTCATCTCGTCAACCGATGGTTGCTATTTTGGTACTTTTGTGACAGTAATGCCATTGAATTCTTACACACATACAGTGGGAATCAAAAATACCGTTTTTTAAATACCCTTGAATAAAAATTACCCAAACAAATAAGTTTTAAGATCCGTTATTATTTACATTTTGGCGCATTCCCTTTTATATAAAATTAAAGGTTTTTTTTAAATAAATTTTTACTAAAGTTTTTCCAATCGAGTGCTTACTGTAACCACCGAGCACTCGTAAACAAAGAACAGCTGAGCCGTGCAAAAGTGTGAGTGCATTTTGTGCTGTGAAAACTCATACAAGATAAGCGGAAAAAGTTGCCAACCCAAGCAAAAAAATCCGACAAAAATAATAAAATTCCAAGTCGACAAAACCCCACAATCGCACGTATCTGTCAGATACAAAACACAATCGTATCGCAGTGGGTAGCTCCGGGAAAACTCAGCAGTTGAGCGAATCACGTAGGCCAGTGAAGCCATGGAGGAGAACCACAACAACTGGAGCAGCAAGAAAATTCTGGTGAAGTGCGGCGGATTCTCGTCGCAATTGGCCAGGAATGTCACCGAAAAAGTGGACGGAGATCCATTGTGGGGTTCCCGATTCGATGCCACAAATCCGGAGGCTGTTATTCAAACCCATCTCGACTTTCTGCGCAACGGAGCGGATATCATTCTAAGCAACACGTATCAGTCGAGTGTGGAGGGATTCGTTAAGTATCTGGGTGTCAGTGAGGCTCGTGGAGTGGAACTGATCCAAAAGAGCGTCCATTTGGCCAAGGAGGCCAAGAAACAGTACCTTATAGAAACCGGTTCGCAAACGAAATCGGTTCTTCCCCTGATTTTGGGTTCAATTGGTCCCTATGGCGCTTGTCTTCACGACGGCTCTGAATATTCCGGCAGTTATGCGGATAAAATAACCAAGAAGCAGCTGAAGGATTGGCACAGAACCAGAATCGAGATTTGCTTGGCAGCTGGTGTCGATGGATTGGCCGTGGAAACATTGCCCTGCCAACTGGAAGCAGAAGCAGTCACTGAATTCGTACTGGACAACTGCCCGCAGGCCAAGTTCTGGGTCTCCTTTCAGTGCAAGGTTAGTATTTGGATTATTTTAATGTAAGAAGGTTATACTACTATAATTACTCCACGTAATATTTAAGCTGAAAAAGTATTGCCTGTGTAACAAGGTTTTTAAATGTAAACTTACCACTTTCCAATTACAATTTCAGGATGAAAGTCACCTGGCAAGTGGAGAATCCTTTGCAACGGCGGCTCTTTCCGTGTGGCGATTAGTCCAGAACCGAAAGGCTGAGGACAGGCTCCTCGGAATCGGGCTCAACTGCGTGAACCCGAACTTCGTGACACCTCTGCTGAGATCCCTCACCAAAGCAGCAGGATCTGATCGAATTCCCCTGGTGGTTTACAGCAATCGGGGCGAGATCTACGATGCCGATCAGGGCGAGTGGACTGGTACCGGCGAGGAAGTGGTCAAGTTTGTGCCCGAGTGGATCGAACTGGGTGTGCGCATTGTAGGCGGCTGTTGCCGGGTCTATCCGACGGATGTTTTGGCGATCCGCAAGTACATCGACAGTCTCAACATAACGCCGTAATCGGCCGGCTAATCCGAGCACTGATAGCTGGCTTGTCGTTAATGCGAAAGCCGTTTCGTGTGACTAGACCTAGACCTATTTAGTTTGCTGAATACATATGTATATAGTATTTGTGTACTAAATGTACTCGGATCAGATGGGCTGCCTAATCAGCGGAGAGTGAAAAGAAGCGTGGACGACTGGGAGACAAAAACAGATAAAGCGGGCGGACCAAAGGTAAACAAGTGGGCGGGGAAAAGGGGGTGGCGGTCACCCAGAGACCGTTTTTGCAAACATAGCTCAATTTAAGTCCGAATCCAAATCAATACAATCTCTGGTTTTAACTTTTCATATTTGCTTCAGCGAAGTGCATTTTTCTCTCAAGTTCAAAAATATTTTGTACTTTATCACAGTCTCTGATTCAATATTACCTAAATAATCTTTAAGCAAGCAAAGAATTTATAACCCCACATATATTTTTATATTTTAAGTAAGTAATAAAATCGTTAAACTCTTAAATCTACTGCCTTTCATTAAATAAATAGTATGGAAGGGCTGTAAATTATTCCAGAATGGTAAACGATATTAAAGTTATTAACTTAAGCTTAACTAAGCGATGTTATCTATATTACAGGACATATATATATAGACAAATGGGAGTTTTTCCCTTATCCTCGAATGATAAAAATCAACCGTTTTACTAATATGATTAATGTTTTTATCTTGGAGTTTACCTAAAGATATGCCTAATTTTTCGTATAAACAATGAATTTATTTTGGGATCAGAATATTTTGCTGTAGAATGTACCCACTGTTACCCTCTAGAAGAACGCAAAGTCAACAACCAAGTACATCTCCGATTGGTGGTCCATCTGGGCTTCCAGAGGTTATCGACGCCGATTTAGCCGTGATGCCGAGCATCAAACGCAGAGTCCAATCGCCCGGCAACCTGGACCACGCACTCCGCCGCTCTGACGATTTCATCAGCCTTGTGGAGGAGTCGCCATCAAACCGAACCGGACAATCCAAATCCGAATCCAATCTGGCTGGCTGGCTGGCCAGCGTCTGGCAGCTGTGCACCCGCCTTATCACCAAAACAGCAACACTTGGTGGGGGCACTCTCGTGTTTGTGTTTGCCACTCTGTTTTGCTATAAATTTTATTTATTAATTTCGCAGTGATAACATACTATAGTCCGGCGCACAGCTGAGTGGCTGGCGGCGAGAAGGTATAAAAGCCCCTCGACGCGCTGTAAAACACTTAAACGTTTGCCGAGCACCCAGTGCCACAGATCATATCCCCACCAGTCTGAGTGTTCTCCGAACGAAATAAAACAAAAAGCTCTTGATAGCCAGGCCCGTCTAGCGTCCAATAAAGTTGTTATTGAATTTAGCGATTTACAAGATCTATAAATAAGCTGCCAAGGTGAGTGCGGTGCCATTATCATGTGTTTGTCTGCCAGAATCACGCAGAAAAGGTGTTTTTATTCGTGAAAGAAGTCCCCAAATAAACAATAAACAAACATTTAAGGACCCTATAATGTTAAAATATTCAAGTACAAAGGAAGTTTAAAATCAAGAATTTCAAAAATACAGTAAACAAATTTGTATATTCTTTTTTTTTTTTTTTTAATAAAAAGAGTTTTGTTTGTGTGGGTATACCAAACGAAATGCGTATTTATAATAAAATTATATTTTTGTACATTTTTGTACTTGTGAATTTTCATAAATACATATGTATATGGATTAACATCAAATTAGAACAAAATTCTTGTGGGTTAACGATCCCAACAATGTTTTGATATATCAGTTAACTAAAAGAAGAGTATCTTTAACTTTGCCTTCCAATAAAAACACTCTTTCCCGAATGTACTTCTTAGATAAAGTAGCCAGTGCGCTGGTCTTCCGTTCTGCCAAGTTCGTTGAACCAAAAAATAAGCGATAAAGTTTAAATGATCCAATCAGTAGTAAACAACTGTGCCAAAGCCAGAACTTGATGCAACAATGTTGCCGATCAATAGGAATTTAAGGGGCAGTCGACCAGTTGTCGGTGCCCATATAACAAGGCCCTCTGAATAAATACATTTTAATTATCTCCCATCCCGCTGACGTATGAAAATCGAACTAATAAATAATTTTTGCATTGTCCCTTGCCCGTTTTCAGTAACCTTGTAATTTGTAATCATGTCACTATCGCGCGTGCTGGTGAAGGATGGGGGTTTCGGCACCCAGATGACCGTCCATGTGGGCAACTCGGTGGACGGGGATCCGCTGTGGAGCGCCCGGTTCAATGCCACCAATCCGGCGGCGATTATCAGCACCCACCTGGATTTTCTGCAAAGTAAGCACCTGGTTGCTAGGAGCAATTAGCAGCAGACTAACTGAATTTCTCCCCCATGACAACAACAGATGGAGCCGATATCATCCTAACCAACACCTATCAGTCCAGTGTCGAGGGTTACATGGAGCATCTGGAGCTGGACGAGGAGCAGAGCATCGAACTGATAAGGAACACGGTGCGACTGGCACACATTGCCAAGGAGCGCTATCTCACCGAGTGCTATCAGGCCCAGCTGGCGGTTCCTGAAGGTGAGTACAGATCCTGCTGCTACCATATCCATTATCTAATATCAGAACAGCACGTGCAAGATTAATTGATATTTTCAAGCACTAAAGAGCTTCTATTAAAAGTTGTTTTATATTATTTGTAGGCTACCCATTGATCATTGCATCGATTGGACCTTTTGGTGCCCATCTCCACGATGGTTCGGAGTACACTGGCAGCTATGCTGACTATGTGCCCGCCAAGGAGATTACGGATTGGCATCGCGTGAGGATCGAAGCCTGCTTGGAGGCTGGCGTGGATGCACTGGCCATCGAGACGATTCCCTGCCAAATGGAGGCCGAGGCTCTGGTGGAGATGCTCTGCGATGATTACCCGGATGTGAAGTTCTGGGTGGCCTTCCAGTGCAAGGATGAGAACACTCTGGCTCATGGCGAGACTTTCGCGGATGCGGCAAATGCCATTTGGGATCTGCTGGCAGAACGAAATGCCCAGGATAAGTGCCTGGCCATCGGAGTGAATTGTGTGCATCCCAAATTTGTTACTCCCTTGTTCAAGAGTTTGAATGGGGATCGCGAGTTGGACGAGCAGATTCCACTGGTGGTGTATCCAAACAGCGGCGAAGTTTACGATGTGGTCAACGGCTGGCAGGGAAGGGAGCACTGTGTCCCCCTCGCCAATTACGTTCCAGAGTGGGCGCAACTGGGGGCCAAGGTCATTGGAGGGTGCTGCAGAACCTATGCCAGGGATATCCGCCACATCGGAGAGGCCATTCGAAGCTGGAACAAGCTGAAGAAACTCGCCTAGAGGCGATCACTTACACTGGGGATCTCAGTACCTTCGAACAGAACAAAATGCATTTCAAATAGTCTTGTAAATATATGTGTAATTAGTTATTAAGGCATAGACTTATTTTAAATAAAGAAAAGACAGACAAACATTGCACAATTTTTAAAAAAATTGAAACCCCCGCGGAAATCTATTTTCAAGCGGCTTATAATTATGCAGTTGGTTAGAGGACTAAAATAGGAACATTTAGTGATATGCCACTTCAAAATCGGATTAAAATTAGAAAAGTTATGGACTTGGAATTAGTGTATTTTGGTTTATTTACTCGTGAATTTGGAAAACCAATTTGAATTTGAAACACGGTAAACAATCGGTTTTGGACAAGACTTTTAAATCTAACCACCAATACCGGTTGTTTGCTAGTCACAACGAAGCATAGACATATTATCGATATCGCCGACAACGTTATCGATGATTTGACAACTCTGGTTCGCCACCGGCAATCGAAACAACAAAAAAAGAGTGACAGCCAAAAAAAGCAGCCAGCTGAGGAAATTTGCAAAAATTTTATACATTAAAGCTATTGTACAAAACAGTCCAGTTTAATACACTCAACATGTTGATCAAAGTCAAGGTGAGTGGGGGCAAATAAAACATTCGCAATAATCTACGATAATAATGAAATACAGCCTCCAGAGAAAGCGTCTTTCAATGTACAAACAAAAAAAATAAGGCAGATTAAAGTGTTATTCTTTATAATTCCAAACTAATGGTTCGTTTTATTTGTATAAGACCCTGACTGGCAAGGAAATCGAAATTGACATTGAGCCCACAGACAAGGTGGATCGAATTAAGGAACGCGTGGAAGAGAAGGAGGGCATTCCGCCGCAACAACAACGTTTGATTTTCTCCGGCAAACAGATGTAAGTTTTCTTGGTAAATTATTTGTTGAATTCAATTTATTTCTGATGCACAACCCTCCAGGAATGATGACAAAACCGCAGCGGATTACAAAGTGCAAGGAGGATCTGTCCTTCATTTGGTTTTGGCTCTACGAGGCGGTGATTTCAATTCGATATTTTGTCTCTAACTAATTTTGTTTAAAATCGAAAGTAATTCATTTCAAATTCACTCAAAAATATTACGCTTGAGAAGCATCATAATGAAGTAAAATATTTTATAACTAAAGCAAATATTGTATTTCTTTCATGTTGATTGAAAGGCACTGTGAATTTAAATAGAACCCAATAATTGAGATCCTATTTAGTTAAAAGTTTTTATGAGTTTAGAAGGATTTAAGATGAATCACGATTGAAAAATATTAAAAATGCATTTATTTTAAATCAGTGGCAGTATGTAAGTTCAGTTCTGTTTAACAAAACGTCCGACTAGCAGGTGATTCTTTGGCGTGCACTGCTCTGGTTTCAACCGCGTCAGGATGACCTGGTATCCAGCTTCCTCCGCCTGCAGCTGGCGGTCGGTGTCCACAACTGACATGCAGAGGAGTCCCTGCAGCGTGGTCTCCGGCTTGCAGTTTGTGGTGCCCATCTCATGCGCCTGATCCGCCGAATGGGCAATGTACAGGTAATCCTTGGTGCTCAAAACCTTCTGGAAAGCTTCACTCAGGGGATAAGAAATGTGCGGCATGGGTTGCAGGGATCCGTAGCAGCAAGGACAGCAAACAAAGTGCGCCTTGGCCCTCCGGCACTGTTGCAACACAATATCTGTGGCAGTTCCGCAGGCGTGCAGGGAAGCTCCGATCTCGAATTCTCCCACAAAGTAATCGATATTGCATTGGTAGAAGACACAGTTGGTTAGTCCCAGCTCGACCGTTCTCTTTTGAGCCTGGAGCAGGGAGAAAGCTTTGTTTTCCATCACAATAATCGTGCACCTGGGCAGTTTAAGGGCCAGCAGAATGGCCAAGTGTCCTGTGCCGCTGCAAAAATCCACGATTCGGTCTCCTGGTTTAGCCAAGGAAACCACAGCGTTAGCCATATTTTCCAGCTGTTGTCGCTTTCTGTTGAGTCGCTCTTTGGGCAACGCTGAACTCTTGGCATGCGTGGGCTCGATCTGCTCCCAGTCGATGAGCTGCTGCCCGTAGGTGTGCTCCGAGTCCGAGCTGAATTGCAGTTGCAACGTGGAAAGTTTTTCTAAGGCCGCTTCCACTTCCGACTGACTGGTGTAGATGCGGTTCCTGGGCTTGTAACGCTTGGGATCCGCCTTGTAGAGACTGGTGGCCTCGCAGTCGGGGATGGCAAGCTCTCCAGGAGGAGTCCTAACTGTCTCCGGTATATAGAGGTCTCTCAGGATCCTGCCGCACTTGTCATCAAATGAATCAATCTGAAATGGAATGCTTTTTAGATATTGTATGACAAATTTTAAGGATATTTAGCCGACAGTCACTCTACCTCGCTAAACCAAGTACTGGTAAGTGGAAAATGGGGCAGCATCTGCCCGCAATGCTGGAAGACAATCGTTAAAAGCGGATACAAGATGAGATCGGCAATGGTAAAGCTTATGCCCTCGGCGAATCGGTGCTCAATAAGAAGCTGTTCCTTGGGCGTGGTGCACTTGATTTGTACCCTTTCCCTCCTCTTGATTTTAATGCCATTCTCTGTCTGATTGGCTTGTTCCCTGGCTTGTTTATATATGTTGTGCATCCTCACTGGTTCGTTCATATGCTGCTCGAATCTCACAACTTCTGGAGGCACCGAATCCAGAATTTGACCGTTGTGAAGATTAGCAACCACTTCCACTACATCCACCTCGCAAAACTTGGTCCAAATCGATGCTTCTGATGGAGCCAAAAGGCAACTGCCCTTAAAACCCAACAGTTTCTTTAGTTCATCACTTGATTGTCTGGATATAAGTTCTCTGCAAAAAAGTAAATATATTTAAACATTGCTTACATTTGAGGTTATTATTTCCATTTGGAAACAGATCGACAAACCTGCAAACAGCACAGGTTCCTGCAATATAGGTATTTCCATCCTTCTCGTAGATCGGAAGTTTTAAATCCCGGATGGCGGGTAAGGAAGCGGCTTCCCTGCACGTGATGTGCTGATCCGTGAGTTCTCTTTTCAACTCGGAACTCCTTAAAGCTATTTTACCGCCCTCAATCTTCGTGGAAAGAAGATAATTAAACTTTTTTTAAGCTAAAGTTCAAGTCTTCAAACAAACCTTGGTGGCGACGAAGTTGACCCGCACATTTTTTGGTTTGTTCAGAAATTGATACGTAAACAAGGCCAAAAACGATTGCACACTGGTGTAGATTGTGGTCTCTTTCCGAGTACTGATCTCGATCTCCAGGTACAACTGATCCATAGTTTCATTAACCAATCATTAATACAAAATTGGGAACTAAACAAAAATTAAAAATAAAATAAATGAGCGAGGAAATTATAACCAGTTGGGGGCCAAAAAAGAAAGAAGAAGAGCGGTCGTCATTCACTTTAGTCTGTTTGCCGATAGGCATTTCGATTTAAGGCATTCGATTTTTATTACCGCTTAATGGCGCGCATTTTAAATTTGAAAATGAGTGCAACAGTTTGGCTTTTATTAGAGTAAACGGTGATATTAAAAAAAATCATTTTGAAATTAGGTGATTGTATTTAACCTCATCTTTTACATAAGTGTTGATATGAAAATATAATAAAAAAATCCTTACCGCGGTTCCTGAAATCCTTTCCAAGTACAAAAGACTCGTTATGCTCCGCCTTCAGCCTTGACCGACCTCTTTTGTTGTTTTTACCACTTCCATTCTTGTTCTCAGCAACTCTCCCCTTTTTTGCCTTGTCCCCATGGTGGCTAAAAATAAAGAAGTTCTTGTTGCCATCGTTCTTCTGGCTCAGCAAAAAGGGCAACATAATTCTTGCCATGCGCTTTCCTTTAAAGTGGTTATATGCCTTTTGGTTTTTGATTTGTAATTCATTTAAATTTTACCTAAAATTTAAACTCATACCAACTTTCCGAATTTTGTAATGCAAAGTGTAAGCGAAATAAAAATATATCTTTAGAACTGAGAAAACATACTTTATAAATATGTGGGGCTTTCAGCAAGGTGGTAGTTTGGCCAGGTGAAGGTAAAGGGTATTTACGGGCTCATTGCTGACAAGCTAATTTTAGCCAATTCGAGGAACGATGGGCCCGAGGAATGGGGAATGGGCATAAGGTAATGGTAATGGGGAGTCGGGGAGGCAACCCGTCTGAATGTTGGACTGTTCTTTGTTTACCTGCTGCACTTTGCTGTGTGCCTGCTGCAATTTCTAATCGAAACGAAACCTTCTACCCTAATGATGGCCTCGGGAAATAACCTTGGCCCTTTGTTAGCTGAAAAATCGGAGTTCTGCCGTCCGAGAGAGATAATCATTTTCTACATGGAGGGAGAATAAAGTGGTAACATGCAACATGCTGCAGTATGAGATCGCTGAGTTTCCAAAACTGTTCGCCTGCTTGAAGTTGTTCCGTTAAAATCTGTGCGCTACGGCAGCGGCCACAAAATGTTGCACAAACATCCAGGGGAGCAACATAAAAGGGCCTCTCATCCAGCCCAACCAGTTGTCTCGCTCGCACTTGCCCACTCCTTGCGAGCCCTTTCGCCACAGATGCAACCGAAACACTCAGGCCTTCTCGCTCTGGCTTAGAATTCTTTTTTTTCGCTTGGAATGACATGGGGAATATAGCATGGGAATCGTTATGGGAATGGCAAGTGGATGGGAAGGGGGTGGGTGCCACAATGCTCTCACTTACTTCGCATGTTTCTTTCCAGCGCTGCTGCGCGCCTGTTCCCGGACACCATCGAAATTTCACATGTATTCCCACGGCCTGAATTTTCCCATGAAGAAGAGGAAGAGGATGGGGAGAATTTCAACAAGAGACAGACGGAGAACCGCTCACACACACACTCTGCCTTTTTTTTTTAATGTTGCATTGAGTCTGCTCCCAGGGTCGATGCACTGGAAAAGAATATCCCTTTATTCCTGGAAACAGGAAGGAATACCACTTACAAAAGAAATACTGAAATAGTGGCTGAACGCAGAATATGTTTATTTTTAAGCCCAGTGAAAATCAAATAACTAAAAACACTTAGGATTTTGTATTCAAAATTAAAATAAAACACACGCCTAATTTTGCTGAGTGCATTGTTCTTCCGTTCCTTCAGCTCTGTTGGTCGTTTTGTTTATGCTGCTGTTGCTGTTGATGCTGCCTCCTCTCGTTTCCCCCCGAAGACCTCCTCCCGGTCCATGGCAGCGCCTTAGGTTCAGACTGGTCCTGGTCACGGTCCCTTGTCCCTCTTCGAACTTAACTTCTGCATCCGCTCGGGTTAACATCTTCTTCATCTGCCTGGCTCGGTGTCCGTCCACGGCTTCGAATTCCTTTGGCGTCCAAGTCTGGCTTCTTTAACCTCTTCCTTGCTAAGGCTTCTTTGGTATCTTTGGCACTGTGGATTCTGTCTGGGAATAAGTACCAATAGTATGTTAAATAATGTTGTAGTACGTAATAAATAATAAATAAGAAATAGTACTGTATTTTTATAGAGAAATCATTATTATGAATTTACTGATACTATCCACTTACTTTACCAACTCCTCCTCAAAGGAGGCGACCACAGGCGGTATAAGAAAGTTCCAATAGCCGAAAAGAGAGTGGTGGTCAAATGCACACTATAGTGCAACGGTACATATAGAAATTCCAGACCTTGCAAAGGATTCGGTCGTATGGTGTGAATATTGGAGACTGGAACGATTGCCATGTTTGGGAGTCCAAGGATCACAACAGCAAACAAAATTTTCAATTTTTAAAATATTTTTTAAACATGTAATATGCTTTCAAATTTGACAACGAAGCAAAAGACAAAAATGTACGGCGCTACTTGATAACTTTTTTCACAGTGCACTACCAAAAGCGGCCTTGGGGAGCTCCAGGAATGTCTAAGCAATTGGCAGACAACTGGAGCCACTTCCTCTGCCCCGTTCCCCCTTTTTCCCCTGCCCCATGGCCTTGGACAAGGCTTCTTCTAATGGTCGGATCCACGAATGTCGTGTTTGGACCTCTTCTCAACCACCCTGCCCCTTTAAACTTCAGTTCCCGATAATGTGCCATTGACTTGGCAGCAGTTATTCCAGTTATGTGTGCCTCACTTCGCCAGACATGCAGCTATATGCTCCGGCTACTGCACTCCTGGTCCGTCAATATGTTCAAGGATTTTTTCATGCTTCCAGGCATGCCAATGACGTACTCAGAAAGCTACTAAATTGAAATACCAAAGAATGTATCTTAAAGTACCAAAATCTACTAGTTTAAAAGTGAGAAAAGATTTCATTTTATCTATAGAAAAGAAAACGTATTGTATTTTATTTACCTAAAAAAAAATGTAAAGAAAATAATTATAATAATTTGAGTGGTTTTATTTTAAAACTCCATTTCTATCCATTAATTTTATTTTATTCCATATATGGAAATGGTAATAGCAAAAAGCAGTATAACAAATCCCTCAAAATGAGCTTTTAAATGCTTCAGAGTTAAACTCTATCCACCACTCAATTCAAATAATATCCCCAAAACCACTACTCAGTTGTTGCCCCACAGACGTCTGTGTGTATGTATGTACATACACCCTCTCAAAAGCGACTCCACGGCGAGAGGTAAACAAACAAATAAACAAACCAACAAGCAAACGTATAACGCACATGGGCCTGAGAAATTCACACTCAGTTGAAACGGAACGAAATCGGAAGGTCGAGTGACTGCCACCGCGATAAATCTCGTGGGGAGCTGGTTATTTTTACTGGGCGCCTGTTCGTTAGAGTCCATGAATCGAAATTGTGTGGCTCAAGTGACGATATTGTCGTTTTTCGATTTCGTTTTCCCGTCCGTTGCCTTAATTCGAAAATTAGTGTTGGTTAAGTTGCAGTCGTAAAAAAGGAAAGTCTTCGTTTGGAGAAGACACCAGTTAGCTGTAAAATAACTTGTTTTTAAAATCGGATGGCAAAATATACTTGGAAAATAATGACTCGCTACTCAAAAGTTGAGTGCTTGAAGGGAAATGTGGGGACTGGAGCTAGTACCGACTCCGGGTTCCTTTGCATTCGTCTTTTTTTCTTGGGAATCGGCGGAATTTCGCTCCGCTGGCGCTTCCAATTCGAACAACTAGAGCAGTGAGCAGCATCATTTAGATTTAGACCGGAATAGTAACAGGCCCGCAGCTCCAGTAGACCGGTTTTTCAAGTTGCTTGCGATTATTCTCGCTCGCTAACTGTCCTGCTCTACCGGCTCCCTCGTTGTCTCGCTCCCACATTTGGCAGCTTTCGGTTGGAGCTTCGAGTGGGGCGCCACCTTTACATTCGCTGCTGAGTAAACAATTATATTATAAGTAATGTTTTTTGTAATATATTAAAAATGTTGGGTAAGTACGATTTTTGACAGTTTTCGAGTCTTTTTTATAGACCCATTATTTTACCTTTGAAAAGGCCCTTACACAACTTTCAAATTTTTTGTGTATGTCGATAGAGCGCGCGCTTTGAACTACTCATAATCGATACTTGCTGCTCCTATCGGTTGACCGATTGCATTGTTCCCCCGGAGCAACTGTGCGTTTCAATCAGCTGTCTCTGCTCGGTTGAAATTGGCAGAAATCAGTCTTTTAGACAAATATTCGACGCAATTTTCTTCTTAACCGGGTCACAGCAAGGATTGGCGTGTTAGGACACCAGAAAGGACAACAAACAGACTTCTTTTGACCAAGTCGCGGAGTAACCAATACAGTGCTGTCGTGCGAAAATGCAGGTGTTGCGAAATTCTTCGACAAAAACAACAAAGAAGCGTCGTCCCAAATAAGAAGAACCCAAAAAGCGAAATAATCAATTAAAATTGTAGCGGGAGCTAGCGTTTCTTGCTAAGGATTACAAAAACAAAGAAGTTCGTCAGGATTTGGATTGCTACAAAGGACGAAACCAAAAGTAGCGTGAACAGCTGCATCAGCTGCGTGGGCAGAGACGCGGGCAGCGACGCCGGCAGTGGCAGCGCAGCAGCAGTTGTAGACGAAACCCAAGCAACAACAACAAGCTTTTTGGTCTTTTTTTGGTCCAACAATGGAAATGCGAGAGGTTTTAAGCCGCGAGGGCAGAGAAGCGAAGAATCTGCTCGTTTACCAGTTTTGCGATGAGACAACTTCAAGTGGTGCTAGTGGATCCGTGGGAGGAGTTGAAGGAGGAGCAGGTGGCGACGGTGGAGGAGTTGGAGCTGCAAGCGGAGGCGTACTCTTGAACGGTGACTGTAAGACTCAAAAATTGCTGCTCTCCAATATCCGGTACTTTAAAAGTTTCTTAAGTAGATTATTGTTTTCAAAAGCTATTTAATTAGCTCGAGCTGCATTCCCGTTAGAAGCATTAAAGTACCGGGTGTAGGTCCGGATTAACCTACGTATTTATTTTATCTTTTGTACTAAAATGTTACATCTCTTCAGGTTATCGCAAGCCGCCCATGGTGCCACCAAAATCGCCCAGCGGCACTCCCAAAAACTGCCAATCGCCCACATCACCACGGCTGAAATCCTCTGGCAATGCGAGCGGTGGAGGAGGAGGCGGAAGCAGTGGTCCACGAGTGCGCAGTGCCTCCACGGGAAGAGATAAAAAGTCGGAGTTGCAAGCCAGGTACTGGGCCTTGCTTTTTGGAAATCTCCAGAGAGCTGTCAACGAGATCTACCAAACTGTAGAGTGCTATGAAAACATCTCCAGCTGCCAGGAGGCCATTCTGGTCCTTGAGAACTATGTGCGTGATTTTAAGGCTCTCAGCGAGTGGTTCAAAGTATCCTGGGACTATGAATCCAGACCACTGCAACAGCGTCCCCAAAGCTTGGCTTGGGAAGTCCGCAAGAGCAACCCAACGCCCAGAGTTCGCACCAAAAGTCTGTGCAGTCCGAACAACTCGGGGAAATCCAGCCCAGCCTTGTTTCCCGGTTCTCAGTCGGGTAAAACCTCGCCTTGCTGTGATCATGGACAGATTTCACCCAAGAAACTCCTACGTGCCTACGACCAAGTGCCAAAGGGAGCAATGCGTCTAAATGTGAGAGAACTGTTTGCTGCCAGCAAGCGGGCTACCCAAGGATCATCGCAATCCGATAACATGGAGGGCCCATTAGACTTGAGTGGCGACAAAACGAATTATGTTCAACTTAACACCCAGTATTCCCAAACAGATCTGGAGGATCCACACTTAACTCTGGCGGATGTCAGGGAGAAAATGCGCAGAGAGGCGGAGGAAAAGGAAGCTCTAGAGAAGCTTGAGAAGGCGGCTTTAGAAGAAGTTATCATTCCAGTTGCAAATGAAAATACGGAGGAAATAGCAAGCCAACTAGAGGCACCTTCTGTGGAGGAACCATTAATAAAAGAGGAGAACTTAGACAAGGAGACTGCTTTGTTGGAAAAAAATACTGAACCTACAGCTCTGGAGATGACTGTGGCTTCTCTGGAGTCCATGGAAAATGCACTACTTAACCAGCAGGCCAACAAAGAACCCACGCCACCTAACACTGTCGTTAAACCTGTGGCTGAGTTGTTGAAAAAGCCTCAACCCACAAATCCGGTGGCAGGAAATGCTGTCCAAAACAGTCCGCTGAAATATTCCAGTGTGCTAAACCGTCCCGTGAAGAAGGTGGTCCCCCCGACTGGCGGAGCAGTTGCTCCTAAGACAATAGCAACTAAGTCGAATCAGATAAAGACAAATCCTGCGAGAACTGTGAATGGCTTACGTCGCACTAAAACAGCTCCTCCCCCAATCAAAAGCACGGGTAAGAGTGGACTGCAGCCACCTCCCAGACCCTCCAGCAAAACCGAGTGCTATGGTCCACCCAACAATGTGGCATCCAGACTGTCAGCACGCTCCAGAACAATGCTGGAAATGAATGGGAGTAATTCGAATCCCTCTACCAATGCCAGAACTCTGCCGAGGAAAACTGCCCCCAGTTCCATTCTAAGCACTGCCAGAAGAACTATTGTGAGCTCGAGACTCAGTTCCCGTGAGGATATAGCTAGTTCCACATCCACACTGAAAGCCAGCAATGAACAGCTCTCGAGTTCAAGGAACACTTTAAAGTCGGAGGAACGACATTCCGTGGCGAAACAGATTCAACTGCCGACAGATGCTAACGATGGCTGGTTGACTGTGAAAAATCGCAGGAGGAGCAGCATGCACTGGGCGAACAGATTCAATCAGCCCACGGGCTATGCCAGCTTGCCAACGTTGGCGTTACTTAATGAGCAGCAAAAGGAGCAGGAGCAGAAGGAGAAACAAAGGGGATCATTAGTAGGAGAGGACAAAACTGTTGCCAAAACCGTTTCGGGAAGAACTGGTGCGTCTGCAGGAGAGACTAGGACTAAAGCCAAGACAGCTCTTACAATCTCCCGTCCGGAAATCAAGAATGCCAAGGCCAAGGTTAACTCCTTTCCGGTGCAAAGGGGCACCGCAAATCCAGTGAAAAAGCCAGAGAAGCAGGAGAAACCAGAGATAGTGGAGAAGCCTGAAGTAAAAGTGGCTCCCAAGGTTCCATCAGTTCCTGCAAGTGGCACTCGAAGCAGCAGCAACAACAGTTCCATTGGACGCACTTCAATGATCAAGAGGCAGAAATCGGATCTTACTGGGCTGAAAATGACATCCTTGCACAAGGAATACATGAGGAGTGAGAAAAATGCATTGAGGAAGCTGCAGCAGAAGGAACTGGGTAACAAAAACAGCAACAGCAGTTCCTCATCAGCGGAAACTGTTGTGGAGTGTGAGTACTTTTTAATTAATTTTGATATTTACAGGATAATAATTTAAACTATTTAATTTCAGCTTGCAGCGATGACCACAACAAGATCGACATTAAGATCCAGACCAACTGTGAGTTCTCCAAGACCATCGGCGAGCTTTACGAGAGCATTGCTCATTGCAAACTTCCCAATGGAAGTCTCAAGCCAAATGCTTGCAGCCTGAGTGCTTGTGATGAGAACGAGGAACAAAATGCGGAAGACAACGAGGAAGAGCGAAATGAAAGGATTTTGGGAGAGGTTCAGGAGTCTCTGGAAAGGCAGATCAGAGAACTGGAGCAGACAGAGATCGATGTGGATACGGAAACTGATGAAACTGACTGTGAAGTTCAGCTGGGCGAGCAGGACGACGGAGAGGATGGATTGGAGTTGGGCAGCGGTGATGACTCGGCTGTGTTCGTGACTATGAGCGATGATGAGAACGCTAGCTTAGAGTTGAGATATCAGGCTCTGCTATCTGATATGTCCTGGAACGAGAGAGCCGAGGCTTTGGCCACTTTGCAGGCATATGTGGCCAGACATCCTGGAAGAGCGCAGGAGCTGCATCAGAAGTTATCATCGCCCTCCAGGCGTCGTTCTCTGCAGGAAACTCTCAAAAAATATCAAGCGAAACAGGCGAGGGCTCAGCAGAAAAGAAATCTGTTGCAACAGGAAAAGGCAGCTAAGCTGCAGCAACTATTTTCGAGAGTGGAGGATGTCAAAGCAGCTAAGAATCAAATCATTGAAGACAAACGTCAGAAAATGCAAGGAAGACTTCAACGGGCAGCCGAGAACCGAGAGCAATATCTCAAGCAAATCATCGAGAAAGCTCACGACGAGGAAAAGAAACTCAAGGAAATTAACTTCATCAAAAACATAGAAGCTCAAAACAAACGACTGGATCTTCTGGAGTCCTCAAAGGAAACGGAGGGAAGACTGCAGGATTTGGAGCAGGAGAGACAAAAGAGGGTGGAGGAAAAGCTGGCCAAGGAAGCGGCTGTGGAAAGGCGGCGTCAAGCTCTGGAAAAAGAACGCCTGTTGAAGCTGGAGAAAATGAATGAGACGCGTCTGGAAAAGGAGCAGAGGATCGGCAAAATGCAGGAGCAGAAGGAGAAGCAGCGACAGGCTTTGGCTAGGGAAAAGGCCAGGGATCGCGAGGAGAGACTTCTGGCCCTGCAAGTTCAACAGCAACAAACCACGGAGGAGCTGCAGCGCAAGATCCTGCAAAAGCAGATGGAATCGGCTCGCCGCCATGAGGAGAACATCGAACACATCCGTCAAAGGGCTCTGGAGCTAACCATGCCCACCAGGCAGGCCGACGAGGGACGTGGCGATCAGGATGAGTCCGAGGACGCCTTGAATGGAAATACCACGAGCACCACCAACGAGGATTGCGATTTGTCTTCTACCTTCTCGGATGTTGGAGGAATCTCCGGCCATTCGAGAAGCTACAAAAAGAAGATGAAGAAGCTTAAGCAGAGGATGAGTCAGTGGTGAGTTAATGTGGATTGGTTTACTTTTATTGAGGGAATTAAATTAATTATTGTATTATTCGATTTGGGTATTTTGATGAGAGGTAAATTTCCGCTTAATCGTTAACATTTTATTGCCACACCGAGTTGAGTTTTAAGTAAATAAGATATGATTTGTAGAAATTAACTTGTGATTTAATGTTAGATAGAACTGTTGTTTAATTATGATGATTCCTTCTTCTTATAGCGCTGCCGAGTACTTAGCCAGTTTGGATCCATTGCCCGCTTATGTGAAACGGGATAGTACAGTGCCAAAGTTGCTAAATCTGGTGGTCAAAGGCGGAGGAGCCCAAGGCTTAGACAGGAACCTGGGCAACCTTTTGCGCTTGATACCCAAAGCACAGACTGTTGATTTCCAAGCATTCCTCAGCATGGACGCTTTGGGAATACTGGCCAACCATGTGATCAGCAAGGGCCTGGAGGAGAACTCCGAGATCTCAAGAAAGTAAGTTGACGGGAACATCCAAATTTAAGGAAGCATTTTCATATTTAACAATCCTTTCAGATCCGTTCATTTGGCCGTGCAGCTGTACAGGAATGCCTGCTCCGTGTGTCCTCAGATTGCTCGCCATGCTCTCCTGGGCAATTCCATAACCGTACTGTTCGATGCCATCAACAAGAGTTTCCAGGTAATCCTCAAAAGCAGCCACCACACAAAAGAAACTTTTAAGAACTTTTGGCCGCACAAAACTGCTCTAGAATAAAAGTGTCGCCAGGCAGTCGTCCTCGCCTTTGGGGTATTGTCAGTGGGATTGGGGCGGAGGGCTTGGAACTGTCGCAAAAGTTGCCAACTCGCAATTCCCCAGGCCACGTCGGATGTCGCCTATGTGTATAGTATAAATTCGTACTTGGCTGGCGTTATGGTCCTGCCCGGCAGCCACTTAACACTTGGCCGCATTTATGTCTTTGTCCGTCTTAAATCCGCGAAAAATGAAAACCTTGTTGGGTGGAGACTCTAGGATTTTTTTGATAACTTCCCTCATTTTATATAAGCCAAGAAATATTCTTTGGTTAATAATATTTAAATGGTGTAGAAAAAATATTTGTGGTCTTGTATACATATGCATGTAAATATCATAGTTTTTTTTTTTTTATTTTAGGTGGTAAGTGCAAAATTATTTAGAAAGAGCATTTTCGTGTCGATTCCAATCCTTTTTTTTTTAGCCCTGTTTAAAGTTTATGTTTCGCCTCGGCTTTTGTTTTTGCTCGTTTGGCTGGCGTTGTTTATTTGCCATTTCTTTGACGCTTTTATTTGGCGCTGCCTTTTGTTTGTTTGGCATTTTTATTTGAATTTTATTTACTGGCCTCGTGCGCTCGCTGCTCGCTGCTCGCCTGTCGCTTGGCCTATCAATTTTTAAGCACTAGGTCGGTACTCTGACCGCCCTTCCATGGAACTTCCCTTCCCCATCCCCGTTTTCTGGGCGCCTTCCCCTTTCCCGGCCAATTTGTCAGCGTGTAAAATGTTTATACATTTTGCGGCTGCTGTTAAATCAATCGTTAAATCGCATAAAAAGCCACTCTCCCACCCAATAAATGTTTTTTTCTTATTTTTCAACTTTTTTATTTGGGTTGTATACGTTTTACTTTAATTACACACGTTACTCAGAAAGATGTAGGGTATATTGAATGCAGGAAAAATAGTGATTAAAGATGTAAGATGATAAAGCTAATCTAAAAATATTAGAGTTTTACAATATTTATAATTTATTAAATCAAATTTGTACTATAAGAAATGGTAATGAAAGCAAAAACATCACTTAATTTTGAATTTACCATTTGTTTTTATTAATACAGAATCAAAAATTATACAATAACAAATAGTTTTTAAAATGCATTTGAAAAACATTTTAGTAAGTTTTTTTTCAAACTGGGTATCACTTGGTCGATAGGACTTTTTTACAATTTTTTGCAGGAAATTTGTTGCGTTTTTTTAAATCTATAAAAATATTTTTACTGCGCATCGCACTCTGGAGTTGCTTTTTTGTTGGCATTGTTAACTTGGCTCGTGTTTATTGTCGCTCCGCCCCGCCCACTGGCCCACCTCCTTATCACCGCCCATTCTTTCACCTTCCTTTTTTTTGTTGATGGATCAGCGCGCGCGCCGCTTGTCATGTAATGAATAAGGAGAAGGGGACGAAGAAAATAAAAAAAGAAACGAAGAAGGCGCAACAGAGTGAAAAAGTTAACTGTAAGTGAGCGAGGGAGAAACATCAATTAACATTTTGATTGATGTGGATGTTCCTTTCTCCGTCTCTCTGTCCGTTTGTTTCTGTTTAAATTGATAATTAATTTAAACACGCGGCGAAGAATTTCACGGTTGGCCCCAAAAAGCATGCAACAATTGTGCGCTGCCACTTTAATCTGACCGATTAATATTAGTAGGGTAAAACTTAGATGTTAGCTCTTGCTTGTTAGTTAAGTACCCTAAATTTAAAAAACAACTACCACAGTAGATATATTCATATATTGGTATTTGTGTTATAGTTTTTAAGTAAGAAAAACCTCTTTGAGGCTAGTGTATAAACGAAGTTAATTTTTTTCCTACTCGTTTTTCGATCTGTTGCAGTTACCCGAAGAAAAATCACCACAACATCCGGTTGAGTTGTCCACGGAGCTAATGCTGGCCTGCACGGAGGCGCTGTCCTCGAGTTACGTGAAGAAGAACACCCACCCAAAAGTTCCGGAACGCCTGCCGGACATGATAAAGTGAGTACAAAAACAAGTGCAACTACGCCGGTTTTATTGCGGCCAACTACAACAAGTTCGAATCAAATAAGGGGAAATCCCGTGAGTTCGAAAATACGAGTTCGAAGCCTGGTATGGGCGTGAGCAGGATGGCAATAGTAGTTTGCTCTGCTGCCATTCCCTTCGCACGCCAGAGAGGGCGTGTCTGCGGCTGAGCGAGACAGCGAATGCGACTGCGCTGCCTGCGCCAACGTCGCTGTAGCTGCGCTGTCGGCGCTTAAAAAATATTATTTTTAATTTTAACTTTTATTTAGTTGGTCACACTAGGGCTGAGCATATGGGTCGCCCTCGCATGTTTTTCGATATTTGTTGTATTTACAACGAGGCTTTCATTATTTAAAAAACCTATATCGTATTTTTATACAGGAAAAATCCTTTTTCTATTAATTTGTTCGTTTTTAAAAGTTGATTACTTTTTAATAAGTTTTTATCGCTGATGCATAACTGTTAATCTAAACTTCGTATCTAACTTCCTAAGTATTATCAACGCTTCCCATAACATTGATTATATGTAATTATGCTTTCAAGGATTTGCAACACTTTTTATGGCGCTGTTGCTTTTTGTGTGCTTTAATCTGAAAGTAGAGAACTTTAATTTTGTGTCCAGTTCAGAATTACTGGTTTCAACTCTCCAACCCCCTTTCGTCTGATTGTTTTTCTTTAATTTGCGCTTATTTTTGTGGGTAAAAGTTTTAATCGAATTGTTGTTATTGTTGACGTTTCTATAGCTCCCAAATATAGACGCCATTTTGTATAACTTTGTGCACAGTAAAAAATGAATCGTTCTAATAAGGTTTTCAGATTAATGTTTATCAAAAGAGTAAAGTGTGATATATTATTTGAAATGAAATATTGAAAAAATTGAAAACTTACTTTGAATCAAAACCTTTTCTATATTTATTTGAATTAAGTATACAAATTATTTTTGACTGGACATATTTTTAATGCTTGCAAGTATGTTTCAGATAGTTTTGAATGTGTTTGTGTTATCCTTTTATTGTTACATCGAAAAACTTTGTTGTTATGCATTTTTCAATTGTGAATTGGCTTTTGTTTGTTACATTTGCGTTTGTTTTTGTTTCGGGTTTTCCTAGCCTTTTTTCGTGTTGGCTTTTCTTGTGTGGGCTGTGGCTTTTGTTTATCCTTTTGTGTGTGCTCTGGGCTCTGTCCAATTTTCTGCCTTTTCCTAGCTGTTTGCTTTTTATTTTTTATTATTCCATTTTGTTGGGTGTCGTTTTTTTATGTTCTTTATCAATTTTCGTTTGTTTATATTTTCAATTTGCTTACAAAAGCTTTTCGTTTATTTTATTAGCCAGCCATTGTTGTGTTTTTTTATACGTTAGTGTGTCTCCTTCGCAGCCTTTTGTGGTTGTTCCTGCTGCTGCTGCTTTTTATCCTTATTCTTTTGGTTATTCGCCTTTAGTCCTTCGGAAATTTTTCGTAGCGCGCATCTCGGCGCTCAATTCAATTACAGCGTTTGCAAAATCAAATTTTCTTTTGACTATAATTTTTTGGGGGAAACAACCCCCGACTTGCCCACTCCCCATTTTAATGCCTGCACCTTGCGCCATTTTGCTGGGAACATAAATAAACTTGCTTGAATGAAAAACTCAATTCGCCGCACTTGAATGGTCCGCCATCTTGCACTTGTTCTTCTTCTTCTTCAGCCCCTGTTCCGTTTCCTGTTTCGCCTTTTTTTCTTCTGGCCACGAAGTATTTGCCATTTTCCGGCTTCCTAATTCGATTGCAGAGAGTTCTTTCTTGTTCTGCTGCGTGCCGCTTTTTGTCGGATGCATAATTAAATTTTTGTTTACTTTTAATTGTCCAGGTGCGGAGAGTTTTGAATATTTTGTTTTTAATTTGAATAAAGTTCTCGAAGAGTTGTGTAATCGAATTAAAGTTGACAAAGAGGAACTTTTACTCCTGGACAAGGGTTTTTCTTCTTTTGACGAGCGCAAAACTTTGTTCGAAGCTAGAAAACTTCTGTGAAAGAATTTTCCTATTGCAGTGCGCCTCTCTAAAAGAAAAACCCCATTATAACCCCCACAGAAAGTTTTTACTTTTGCAATTAATTTGCTGGAACAAAAGACACACATTCGTAAATAAATGTGTGCCAAGCAAAAAAAGAAAATTATTAAATAAACTCTTTAAAATGTTTTTTTTTTTTTTTTTGGTATTGGGGATTAAAAAAGTAAACAGTCTCTTTATTGTTCGCTCCATCATTAATCATACCGCATTCATATCGATTAAAATTCTATTCACCAAACATTCATCTTGTTTGCTTGAATAACCAAATTGGCCACCATAAATCGTGTCCTCCCACCACCCAGAATGTCATCCCCATTCTAAAACCATGACAAATTTGATTTTCCTCGCTCTGGCACCTTTGCATCACACACGAATCTAGAAGCGCAGATATCTATGGGATATCTTTTTACAATGTAATTGATTCATAATTAATCAACGCAGTCATTAGCCCTCCTGGCATAAAAAATGGTTAGTAAATATATTTTAATCACGATTTGATCATCAATCGCAACAATGGCAGAGGAGGCTCATCGCAATCATAACGATGATTTGGCACGCGATAAAGCAAACACCCCGGGGCTCAAAATTGAAACCAGGAACCCGAAACGAAAAACTGGAACCCCTTTACCCTGCCACCCCTAAAAAGCAGTCATAATGAAATATGCATATTTTATCTGGGTGCAGGGAAACAAAAAAATCTTTTCGATATATTCCCCAGCCGCGTGCTTGTCCTTTGGCTTGTCTGCTCCGTCTGCTCCTGCGGCGGCTGTTTCCACTGGCAGGATGTCAACAAGGACGACATGCTGGCAAAGTTACTTCCGCTGGCTGCTCAACTGCTCAACTGCTCGGCAGCTCGGTAACTCGGCTGCTGTGCGGCAGTTAATTTAATTACCCTTTAAGTAACCAGATCGAATGGCCAATTTGGAGTTATGGCCGGCAGACCTTGGAGCTCCTGCATCCACATCCTGCAGGATGTTCGCCTGCATGGCTCTGCATGGGTGTGCCAGTTTTTGTGGCCTGCACTTTGCAATTGACATTGTTATCCGGACTCCACTGAGCTCCACTGAAAGTCAAGCTAAGAAAAATATCTTTAAAAGAAAGGAATATTTTTTTACATAGCAAATATAATTTGTATTATATTGGTGTTACAAAGGATAAAGAAAATGAATATGTAACTCAGATTATTTAAAGGGAAATTCACTTTAAAAAAGTAATAGTTATTAACAACATTAAATCATTAATAAAATTATTAGTTATTTATTTGTTGATACTTCTCAAATGTTTTTTACATCCCTTATTCTCGCAGTGCCAATAGAAACTTTTGGCTCAATTACAAGGACAATATCTGGGATCTAAGCACACTTGCACGCCCACAAACACGTGGCATTGGGTTTTATTTTACCATCGACATATTAGTGCAACTATTTAGACCTTAAACTAGACAGAGCCTCCCACTCCACCTCTTTTTTTCGATAGTCTTTGACTCTCCTATCTGGTCAAATGTATTAATTTCATTCCTGGTCCTTTGTCCTCGGTGCTCTCACTCTTTTCGAAAATATCCTTCGACGTCTCCTGTTTCTCCTCCCTGGCCCTTTGTTTGTTGGCTTTTTTTTTATGTTCGGCGTTTAATATCCGATTTCAGTTTTTCCCCTCGTCTCTGTTGATTCTTTTTGACAAAAGGCTGAGCATTGGGAAAACTCGGTTCGGTTTCTGTTTCTGTCTCTTTCGCTTTGTTTGGCTTTGGCGAAGTTTCCTATTTGCCCAGTGCGCCGCTCCTTTTTGTTTGTCCCTCGCCCCTTCCACCTTTTTTTTTTTGTTTCCCACCCCCGCTTTAAGGAAAATCAAAATATTGACTCTTAACGGTGTGTTTATTGATCTTTCAGCTACCCTGAAAAGGGCAGTGGGGAGGGGTGGAAAATTGGGAGGGGAAAGTGGCCTAGGATTTCCAGTTTGCAATTGCAGTTTTGCTAAATAAATCATTTTCCAAAAAAGCGAAATTTTTTTTGGTTGAATTTTTATAAACTGTTTTAAAATATCTATATTAATTTTGTCAGAGTTGTCATCTGTCCCCCTCCCTCCTCCCTCCCCCCGAATGCCAAAGTATACCCTTCCCTCTCTCGCTGCAGTCAAACTGCTCAACTGGAGCTCAGTTTCAATTTCTATTTCAGTTTCAGTTTTCGTTTTCAGTTCTCGTTGCTCATCTGTTCGTTTCGACATTCAAACTGTCAAAAAGTCAGCATCAATTACAGTTACAAAGACATCATAGCAAAAACCCCTGCACAAAAACCCACACAAATATCCCGAATTCGGTGCAGTGTGAGTGCAGGGGCGTTGGATTTAAGGGGGGGGTGTGGCACAACACGGAGAGGAGAGGGGTCAAGGGTCAGAGCAGCAGCTCAAAAGAAGTGTAGCCCGAAACTTCGCTGTGGATTTGCATCAAAATGCATTTGGCCATAAAGGACTGAGGAAAAAACTAGATTTTAGAGGGTGGATTGAAGAGTTGTTGAAACTATTCGTAGAAAAATTATGAGTAAAATACAGAAATGAAAGGTTTGGTTTTCTATAATTCTAAACATTTAAATACATAATCCATTTGATTTTTTTTTAGTTATCAATTTTAGTTAAAATTTTTGTAAAATTAAATAAATTTTAGAAAAGGTTGATTGTTTTAAATATTTTTTTAACGATCATAAAACCCATAACTTTAGAATGAACCCTCTTCTCGCATAACCCGAAGAGGTCATATGCAAAAGTCTGACATATGCGCTGACATTTTGCATGCAAAAAAAGGCGCAGCAGCCTCAGCAGCAATGTCCTTTTCCCCGCCCCCTCTCCCCTCTTCCTTCCCCTCCACTCCCCTCAAACTCCTGTCCCTTGTCGAGCTGCATGTCAAAAGTTTGATGAGTGCCTGTCCAGTTCCGCCGCATGTCAAA